AGTATTATTTCGACGCCTGAGTACACAAAGCTACGTTTAGGTGAGAAATGAACACACAATAAATTGGTATCTTGTGGGACTCATGTTGTTATTAATTACACAAGAGACGCATTTACGATCCATTCGTTAGATGCCTTCAGAAATACACTCCCGTAATGAAAGGTACAGAGCGGGGACTGGTGCAGTTACCTCTGTATACTGGTTGGTATGTTGTTTAACGCCGCACACAGCAATATTCCAGCTACATGACGGCGGTCTGTAAATAATCGAGTCTGGACCAGACAATCCAGTGATTAACATCATGAGCATCGATCCTCGCAATGTGGGATCGATGACATGCATAAACCAAGTCAGCGAGCCTGACCCCCCGATCCCGTTAGTCGCCTCTTACGACAAGCACAGTCGCCTTTTACGGCAAGCACGGGTTGTTGAAGACCTATTCTATCCCGGGTCTTCAGGTGTCTGCGTACACCAACTACATCAACGCCGTCATCTGAGACAGCAGTGGTGCCAGACACAACCTATGCAGGAATGGCGGCATTTGAGGCTGGGGTCGAACTTCCAAGAATGAAAGTCTTAGATCAGTTTAAAATTTTCTTAAATTGCGTTGGTTTTGTTTTTGACGAAAGCTAATACCAAATGAAACAATTGAAATCATAATAAGTGAGTGAAGTTTACGCCGCAATCTGAGTGAGCGAGTTTAACGTCTAAGCGGTCATTTTATCAGTCATTTTACGGTTCCTAATTAGAAATATTTCAGTTATATCTCAGCGGATTGTACATGATTGAGTACCCGTGGGGATGCCGGGTTAGAATTGCTCCATAGCAACCTTTGCTTGTCGTACGAGGCGACTTAATGGATCGGATTGTCAGGCTCGGTGACTTTGTCGGTTGACAAAGTCTAGTCCAGACTCGAGTCCGCCACAATATGGCTGGAATATAACTGAGTAGCGTTAAATAACAAACAAGAAAAGAAAAAGATAACGAGTCTTTACCAAGCAATGCATTGACTTTCAGCATGCGCGATGACAAGAGCCAATCACAGAGCCAGACCACCTGAATCTGACACGGAATCCCCATGAGGATCACCTCTTTCCTCCTGGTATTCTCTGACACCATTTCCTACTCCAAACATGTCGTGTCAGATTAACATAGTCAACTCTAGACGTACTGAATCCGTTCATAACGGACAAAAGTTCAATCTTGGAGCAGTAAGATGTTTGTTCTTTGGTTTGTTGTTTAATTGGTAAAGTCGTTTTAAAGACGCAGAGCCTGACCCCCGTATCCAATTGTAACCTCATCTTTCGACACGTTTTGTTTATATATTCGTCTGTTGTTTAACTCCCCACTCAGCAATATTCCAACTATATGACGGTGGCCTGTAAAAAATCGAGTAAATCATCATTTAATTCTTGGTTTTTAAATAGAGATTGAGTTAATTGATACATTTTGATAATATTATGTACTGTTTGTTTGTTGTGTAACGCCGCACTCTGCAATATTCCAGTCATATGACAGCGGTCTATAAATAATAGAGTCAGGACCAGACGAGCCAGCGATTAACATCATGAGCATCGATCTACGCAATGGGGATACGATGACAAGCATCAACAAAGTCACCGAGCCTGACAACCAGAGCCCGTTTGTCGCCTCTTACAACACGCATCTTCGCCTATTACGGCAAGCATGAAGACCTATTCGTACCGGGATCTTCACGGGTCTGGAGTATTTAGAAGCAACATTATGGTTCACAGAGTTATGTTTACCTCCCATTTAAACACTATTCCAGTTATTTTCGAGGCTTGATGTAGATCTTTGACGTTTATAGCTATGGTGAAACTAGTTAGCACGGAGCTGACAAGCCAACTGAAACATCTGGGATTCGAACCCACAAAAGAACGCTGTTCTAAATAGCGAATAGCGGCGTCTCGGACGACAGGCACTCAAGTGTCAATCCTAGAATCAATAATTGGCGCTTCATATTGCTGATTAATACACCAGTGCTATATCCTATTTCACAGTTAATGCACGGGTCATGTTTGCCGTGTGATAGATTCTCGAGTTCTTATTAATGGCTGTTATCAAATTACAGGTAATGGTCTAGTACAGCAAGCGTAGGGCAGAAACAAGCAAGGTCAGGAAGGACGACTTGTCCTGCACCAGATCAGGAATTATCCTTACCACAACGCTACACAATTATTTCTATATACTGGAGGACAAAAATGTACAATTCTGCACGACAAGTGCATGCGTGCCATGGCAAAGTTGACTGAGAGTAGGAGGTTGACGATGTGAGGTCGTCAGATGTTCTTTGAAAAGCAAAATTCCTGGTGATATGGCTGAGCTGTTCTTGTCAGCAGAACATTAATAACCACCCGTTTATACTTCTATAATTATACCCTCGATATATTTCTTGACAGTTGGAATATGCACGTGGGGGCGAGCTAAACGTGACGGCGTGGCAACCCTCGATATCCTTCTGTTTGGTTGGAGGATGTAGGCATGTGGAGCACGAGCTAAACGTGACGGCATGGCAACCCTCTATATGCTTCTTGATGACTGGAATATGCACGTGTATCACGAGCCAAACGTGGCCGTGTGGCAACCCTCGACATCCTTCTGTTTGGTTTGAGGATGTGAGCATGTGGAGCTGAAGCTTAATGTTTATGGGTGGCAACCTCGATACGCTTGTTTGTTTGTTTAACGGCTGTCTGTAACTTATCGAATATGGACCAAACAATCCAGGGACTGACACCATGAGCATCGGTAGATGCAACTGGGATACGATAAAATATCAAAAGTTCACACATTAAACAAGTATGCGAACTGACCACCCGAACCCCTTAGTCGCCTCCTACGACAAGCATGGGTTGCTGAAGACCAATTTCAGCCCGGATGTTTACGGGTTACCCCGAGACGCTTCTGGATGGTTGGAATATGTAGGCTACAAACTTTTGGATCTGCTTTAAAAACTGAAAAAACATTAACTGTGAAAGGAGAAACCGAGCAATTTTATTTTTTTACACTACACTGCTTTTGATGCGACCGTCAAGTCCACCGAACAATATTTATTCTGGAGTATTACCTGGGGTAAATTTTCCGTGTTTTTTTCTGGAACAAAGCAACCTACCTATCCCTCCCCCAACTCACAACCGCCACCCATTCGCCCAGAATTATATTGACCATTGTGTTTTCAAACGAACTGTCTTTTCCTGACCACATTTCCACGCCCCAAATCATTACTCTGCCACCTCTAAATGGTCCAATCTCACACACCACATCTGGAGACACCAACGAGTATTGCGTTCTTCTCGACGACTACTCCACGTACTTAACTCTCTGCCCATTTCTGTTCTGCCAGTCTTTGACGTCGGGATTGACTTTTCAACGTGACCCCCCGTTAGGTCCATACAGTGAGGGGACTGAAAGCATGTCATTTGGCAGATGATGCTCATAAGGTCATGCTGAATCGGTTCTTCAAATGAAGAATATGCAAATAACGATCTTCGTTGGGCGTGGTGACATGTCTTCCCCGACAGTCGGTATCGTGACAGCAACCTTGTGCAACCACAGCGTCTAGCGACGGCGTCATGTCCAGCTACCAGCTGCAGCATATGCCAATGGCCTTTTCTGTCTGTTCTGATAACAAACGTGGTATATGACTGTTGATTTCCGGACTCGTAATACATTGACGAATATTATGAGCTTTCATATACTGTTCAAAAAAAGAAACCCAAAGCCAGATGTGTGTGAGGTATGAAAATACATTTTTCGAGGAAAGGTGTTGAGCCAAAATGTTCTGGAGAGAACACTTGGTGATTGTAGTCTCGGCTATCGGTACATGGGAAAAGTCCAAGGTGAAGGTCAGCTACCATCAACAGCGCGCATGTCCCCCGTTGGAATCCCCTGACATCCCCTGCCCATGGAAGAGACGAGTATGCGAATCACATCCCTGGGAATGGTATCCCACTCGGGCTGCAACGCAAACGCCAACTGCTGCAACGTCTGGGGTTGTGGTTGACGTCGGCGTAGCCGTCTATTCAATTCATCCCACAGGTGCTCTATTGGATTCAAATCCGGGGATCTGGAGGGCCAGGGGAGTACATCAACGTTGTTGTTGTGTAGACAGGCTCCTGTGATCCGTGTTGTATGCGGTCGATCGTTGTTCTGCTGGAATACACCGTTGCCGTTGGCTGCAATTGGTGGGACGTGTAGTAGGATGTATCGTTGTGCCATAAGATTGCCCTGGATATGGACCAAACCCGATGAGGGATTTCCGCCCACATCATAACGCTACCCCCACCAAACCTGTCCACATCCTGTACGCAGTTTCCGGCGTAACGTTCTCCCCGACGTCTGTAGACCCGTGTTCTTCCATCCTCGACGGAGGAGAAATTTTGATTCGTCGCTGAACCAGACATCTCTCCATCTAACGCCAATACATAACACCTCTTCATTCTGCACCTCTTGGTCCGTAAATTTTACTATTATGTCGAAAAATATCCGTATTGCATTTTTTGGGTAAAGTATATTGCCTATATTACACATTCTGTGATCATGTTGCACGAGCACTTCTAATTTTAGCGACATGAAGTCGTTTTTTACGGGATTCTGTCAACTGTAAAGTAAGATTTTCAGTTGCACTCGTTTCTGTTGCATTTTAACGATTGGTTTTATTTAATTTGGTAACATTATGTCGGGTTCGAATCCTAAATTTCATAAATTTGGGTGTGTTTTCTATTGCTCGTCTGAGTATTTGTAGTTCATCAGAGCATCTAATGCATTCGGAGCACACCAGACAAAAGGAGACAATATATATCTCGGATTTGTTATATTATTATATATATCCTAATTGGAAACAGACTGCTTCACTTCATATACTCGGCTTGTATTATTTTCTATTCCCGTCATTTAACGGCGGTGTCCACAAAGAAGCCAATACATATTTATGTATTTTGCTGTAATCTTATCATGTTTTATATAGCCTGTTCCTATTTCAAGAAATTTTTACGCAAGATAACAAGACAGTCTGTGACCTGTTCATGAAAAGAAGAGCCTCCCACGGGACACCTCGCGCCCACCACGCCCGCATGTCTCGTGCATACCTTCTCGGTAAGTGAAACATGTATTTGTATTTGATCTTCCACTCGATAAACTGAGTTTTGCCAAGAACAGCTTAGCCACATCACCACAGGGTCGCTCTTCATAGAACATCTGAGAACGTGAAAATGTTGGAGGACGACTTGTGATAACGAACGACTGTGTCAAGGTCATAAAAGACCGTCATGTTTTGATTTTCTGTAGAAAAGATTGCTTGTTTGTTGTTTGAAGCCGCATTCAGCAATAACCCTGCTGTTTGACGGGGGTCTGTAAATAAGCGTGTCTGGACCAGACAACCCAGTGATGATTGACATCATCCGCATCGACCTACGAAAATGTTATACGATGACATGTATCAACCAAGTCAGCGAGCCTGACCACCCGATCCCGTTAGTCGCTCCTTACGTTGGTTGGTTTTGGTTTGTTGTTTAACGCCGCACTCAGCAATATTCCAGCTATATGACGGCGGTCTGTAAAATAATCGAGTCTGGACCAGACAATCCAGTGATTGACATCATGAGCATTCGCTCCTTACGACAAGCATCTGTAGAATAGAAGTTCAGTTATAAGTCATGTATACGCATGTAGGTAGTTTGGCAATGCCTTAAGTATTAAGTCAGAGTAGCAACATACTATGCAATCTTTGTCGGTGATTCATTTTTGTGATATGCATTATTTGAAATGCTTTTGATTTAATTGAAATTAGATCAGATGTGAAGCAATTGAACTTGAGTTTTTGAAGATAGCAAATAGTGTTATTCAACCATGCTGCTATCACCCTACACTATAGCATGGAATTCAAAGGATGATTGGTTATAGTTAAAGGGCGGGGTTACTTCCATTAATTTCATGTCGCATTTCAGGCCACGTGTCGAAACTCGCATTATTTTAGGGACGCATTAATTTCACGGTTGACGGTAATTCGTATTTCTTTACTTTCTCTTTACCTTATTTTACTTTTTTTACACCGCATTCGGCATTATTCCAGTCATGTGACATCAAGCCTGTAAATAATCAGACATACCAATGATTTATAGTATGAGCAGCAATGGATGCTTCGAGGTACGATGACACGCAAGTTATCGAGTGTTACGACACAAATGGAATTCTGGTCATTAATTCTAACCCGACATTCGCTAGGGGAAAGTGTATTAAGATATGATTTTAAAAAGATCAGTGTTCACAATGCCAGTTGTTCTCTGAGCACCTGGCTGGCATGGACAACAGAACGTGATTTTGATTGTTTTGCGCCAATTCATAATTGCACTCTGCAATAAGCATCGATAATTTGACGACACCAATAACATTATTGGATCTTTGATACTAAAAGGAAATGGAAACGGGTAGCACAATTAAACCATCAACTTTCAAACAGCTCAAAATTCTCTCTACAGTGACAGTCAATTATCGGAACATTATTCAGCGGAGATAATTATTTCGACCGAATTATACCTTCATGATATATTAACTGTGCATGCATATCGAACACGTTTTATTGTAATTCTGTTCGCATTATTTCCACGTGCTGGAGGCGTCTAATCAATTTTGCACGTGCAAACGTGTTTTAATCACAACTTCACATTTCACCAGACCGTATCAGTTTATAATCTGTTGAAATAAGGCATATCACACACAAGTAAGTCGAAGTATCACAATGAAAGTTGGTGGCGATGACAGGGAGCTTCGGATCGTTGCGTGGCATGCAGGATCCGATTGCATTGCTAGCACAGGCACGTAACGCACGTGCAGCACAGGCTGAAGTCCACTTCATGGGATATGTATTTGAGCCACGTGATCAAATGGAGACATCTCATTGGACACGAGTCTTAGTAGTTGGGTATGATGGCGAAACAATTCACAGAGCAGGGATCAGAAAACGAATGGTTGATATAATCAACAACGGCCCACGCCGTCGACGTAGCTTGTCACGCAATCAACCAAGTCACCGAGCCTGACCCCCAGATCCCCTTTAATAATCGCCCCTTACAAGCATGGGTTCATGGGGGCCAGTTCTATCTATAAAATGTCTTTTGTATGACCACTTTTGTTTAATTAATAATAATAATAATAAAAGTTATTTTTAAGTCACCGAGCCTGACCCCCACATCCAATGTTAACCTCCCCTTACTACACCTTTTTGTTTCTTTGTTTCTTGTTTAACGCCGCACTCAGCAATATTCCAGCTATATGACGGTTGTCTGTAAATAACCGAGACTCGACTAGACAATCCGGTGATTGATATCATGAGCATCTACCCAAACGCAATACAACTGGGATACGATGACATGCATCAACCAAGTCAGAGAGCCTGACCACCTAATCCCGTCTCTTACAACAAACATGGGGGTGTTGAAGACCATTGCGAACTATGATCTTTATGAGGGTAGTATCGAGGTAAACCCAGAGTATTATAAAGAGTACTAAATACTTTATCTATAAAGAGTACGAAATACTTTATCTGAGCCCCTTTCAAAAGTTCCATCTCCACCAATTGTCGTAACTCCCATTCTTCAACATAGACCTGTAGCACTAAGATCGCTTTGTGGATGGGGCTAATTATAAAAGTATCATTTTCTAATATCGTCTAGGTAATGGGGTATATAGAAAGGTATTGGACGTTGTCTGAACGCCCCAACCTCATTTTATATTTTCAAAGATTCCACGTGTTGTCCTACTGGGATATAATAGCGAAGCAGTACCACTAAAGGCTATTTAATTGGGGATCGGATGGACACAATGGTACTTAACGACTGAATGCACCAACTCTCATCTAATTTCCTACTTTGTTAAGTGCTTCAGTGAATGAGGGATGATCGATTGTTCTGTCTTACTTTAATGAGTTCCCACCTACTCAGCATCCTCATCCCACATCCTTATTTTCGGTCTTGGAAAAATGGCCCACCAAACATTTCTAAAAACTATTCTCTTATTACGTCTAGATGTTCACGGCAAAAATAACCCGACTACTCTAAAATACAATGGCCGTGTCATAATATAGCCTGAACCTCGGCAGTTGTTGACGCTGTGTATGACAGGGGCTCTGTGCCCGGTTCAATTAACATATCCCCAGAACAGCGTTAACCACGGCCCCTACAATCAGCCTAAGATTTAATTATCAGCATTGACGTATTCAAATCTGTATTCCGCTAATAACATGAAAGATGGCATTCCCGGGGCCGTTGAATGTATGCCGCCATCTGTGTGTGTCAATAGTCAGAGATCATTCTTGCAAACATTCTGTTGATTTAACTTTCATCTTTCACGTTTTCTACTTGCTCGAACTTATTAGATCTAAATTTGATGGGTACTTCAGCCGTTCATTAAATACGTTTTAAAAGCCATCATTTTCCTGAAATATATCACCTTGATCAATGTCCCCTAAAATGACGGATTATGTGATATGTCTCGCCTCGGATGAGTGGTCAATTACATGGTTTATTGTAAGGTTGCTGTGAATTAAATACAGATTGAAGTCGCTATAACATTTTAGTATTGTATATCCTCTTCACGTTTCCTCAGCCATTACAATGCTATCAATTCTGCTATAGAACCAGAGAAGTACCAGTATAGTACCAGTATATAAGTATGTTAGATGATAAATCGCTTGTTTGGGCATTATGTAAATTCAGCGTCTCATCACACAATTTCAATGTATATTTTAGACGTAGATATGAAAAAAAGAGAAGTTGAAATGGGTATATGTAAAAAATGCCAAGTAGGGGAGACTGAAGATGAATGTCATGTTTTATTAGTATGTAATAAGTATGAACATCTCGGAGAAAAGTATATTCCGATGTTTAACAATAGGCAAAAAACAAGATGTAGATTGATCCGTCTTATAAAATCCAACAACTCTGCTGTTATACGTTCTTTAGCCATATCGTTGAAACATATATTATCTGTCAGATAGCTTTTATGTATCATGCATATCACGTGTCTAAAGAATGAATCTGAAAGTGTAAACTGTACAAGGGGCAATGGGCCTTAAATATCGAATATTATGTCATTGTCTCTGCTATAACACTTTGCCTATCAAACTAAGATGACACGATGGCCCGTCAAACAGTTCTAAGTCTGACTACCTTTCAACTATGGGCCATAACAAAGTGAACTAGTCAACGTAGTGCATTGTTTCAGTAGTTCATTGCAAGTGTATTTGGTCTGTTGAGGCCGTTTGTCTATTAGTGACTGTCATTTGAACGTGATAGGGGTCCAAATGGACACAGAAATGAAAAAGAACGAGTACAGAGCAGTCATCAACTTTTTTACTTTCAAAAATTCATGACCGCATGTCACAGGTGTATGGGGACAAGTGCCCTAGCTATTCCAATGTTAAACGTTATGTTTAAGGCTGGGGAACAGGCCTTGATGATGACCCTAGGTCTGGACGTCCCTTAACTTCCATCAATGAAGATTCAATCAAGGAGATAGAAAAGGTTATACTATCAGATAGACGTATTACCATTGCTGAACATGAGGAAGGCACAGATTTAAGCCATGCTGATTCGCTTCATCGCCTGAGAGATTCTATCAAAGAAAAGCGGCAAGGAATGACGATTGCTGGAGTTCTACTTTTATATGACAATGCCTCTTCCCACACCCCTCGACTTGCAAAGGCTGCTGTGCGACAATGTGGTTCGAAGAATTTTCCCACCCTCCATACTCACCAGGCCTGGTACCCAGTGATTTCCATCTGTTTCATAAACTGAAAGAACATCTTCGTTGAAAGCGCTGAGACGATAACGATGACCTCAAAGCTGTCGTGAATGGGTATTTCAGGATGGCTTTAGAAAACTTCTCCCTGACTGGAATTGAAAAGTTTCAATATTGACACAATAAGTGTCTTGAAAAGCAGGGAGATTATGTTGAAAAATATAATTATAAACACTTTCATAATTGTTGCTTTCGTTTTTTAGACTTGGAACTTTTTGACCAGCCCTCGTACTAGTATACTGTATATTAGAGTATTTGTAGGCACTTAGAAGTCAGACCTTGATGGAGTTTTATGGACAACAACTTCTTTAAGTATACATACACAGGGTTTCAGAACTACTTCTTGCCCCTTTTCGGGTTAAAAAGAAGCTCCTAAACATTATATATGTATAATAAAGTAGTACTAAAGTATAATAATACACCTTGTGGGGATGCTGTATATCAATCTTATCATTGACCTGTAAAGGTTTCACACCGTCAAATTAGGGGAAAGTGTGAATCACACATTTTCTAATATTAATCGATATTTGCAAAAAATATTAATTGTCAAGCTCATCACAACTCTCGAGGATCGCTTCCAGGATCATCGTTATTTATCCCTGCAAGGAGCTCACCCACTCTCTGGGCCAACTCACTTGAATCGATGTGCGCGGTAGTTTTTCTCGACTCAGAAACCGCCTATGACGTGAACACGTCGTTTTCAACCCTACTTGTCATTGGAGCAATATCCCGGACGATTCCGAGTTCACTGAAACCATATCCGGAAAACGAAACGAGGAAAACATTATGACGTAATTACAATCCACATGTGAATGCACCATCCGGGTCCTCAGGCAGTAATGGCGTAGTGATCTTGCAAGGTTTAACCGTAAACCGCCTTAGGACCGATCCCTCCATATTTTCGTAGCTCGAACACACATGGCAGCATTTTGTTTGGAACGCTTTTTGTTTTGGTAATAGAAATTAATTTAATATGGAGCAACATTTATGTGTGTTTGGCGACTGCAGCCAGCTTGTGTCATGTAATAGTCTCGTGAAGTATATATGATGGACCGCCTCCGTGGTCTAGTTGCCCTGAGAGCGGAAGGTCCGGTCTTCGATTCCCTGGACCCCGGCTGCGTCTTACCAAAAGACGTTTAAAGATGGAACTTGTTGTTACCCTGTCTGGCGCTCGGCATTAAGGAGCAAAAACAAGGACTGGTCGGGTGGTCGAAGTCAGTGTACTGCGGCATGGTATCTCAGTGGGCTAGGACTATAAAATCGGCATCGGTCCATTTGCAATGTCACATAGTTTGTGTGACAGTTTATGTTTCACAGTTTATGTTTCACAGTTAATGTTTCACAGTTTTTCAGCATCATATCCGTGGTGGTAAACGTCTGCATCACTGCGTGCTTTAGCCCCACTTCAAGCTGAATAACCGTGATCTAATTGTGTAGATGGATGCTAATGATGTCAACAACTCGATTGTCTGGTCCAGATTTGATGATTTACAGACCTCTGCCATATAGCTGGAATATTACTCAGTGCAAGCAAAAAATCAAATTTTCGATCTAATTCTTATCATATTTATTTTATAGTATTTGTCCATCTCGGGTTGGCTGCTGTGATATGCGCCTCTACACCATCAGGTAGGAATATATTATTACGCAATAACGTCACGAACATTTATGCAACAGATTTCATATTAACCTGGCAGAATGAAAGCTCATTTCACTTCAAAATATCGAAAACTCTTAACTTAAAAGGGTAAGATATTATGATTCCAAAGTCATCGAATGTATATCTTTGGGAAAACAGGACACTCTTTAGAAATCTCGAATCTGCTTGCTACATTTACAAAGTTCGAAACCTCCGGTCTTTCAAGATTGCATTGAACGCTGTACATATGTCTTAGCTATGTGGCAATCGCATTAAAAGCAGATCTTTTACTCCGATACATACCTGTCTGCGTCAAGATGTGAGGACGCCTCGATAGAAGTTCATTTTTTAAACTAGTCGGCTTTTATTTGTTGCCGTTTTGATTCGGAAAATTTGATTTGTGCCAAAGAAAACCGCTACAGAATACACATACACATTCGCAAATACATCCTTGTGCATTTGGATGTCATTGCGCTCAGAAACGACAGGGTTAAAAAGTATCCACAATATAATAGTGCGGCTTTGTTGTTTGGCAGGCGGATATCCTCGATTATTTTCGTTTACAAGATACAGAAATCAGATATGTTCGTCTAAATGCTTCGCTCACTCGTATCGAGAATTTAGAAGCCTCGATGCTGATCAGAAGGTTCACCTGACGAGATTTCCCATGTGGTATCCTCGGGTTGCAAAGAGCTAGGGTGTCGGAGTTAAGGATCAGGCCTTAATGGGATTGGCCTGGGCTCATAACATAACAGAAGGACCTACACTAACCTGTCTCGCAGACTCTGGGGAAAAAAATGTTAAATAAATCCAACTCACGTCAGGAAAGATGTGGCAAGTCTAGATTGCCTGAGCTCTAAAATTAAGCATTGATCATTGGGATTTTATATTTCATTTTATAGATACATGTATTTTTAAATAAAATAACTTTTTTTCTGGGAATAAATGTTCGTCTCGACCCATACGTGCTAACATACATATAGCAAGGGTAGTAGAGTAACCTTGGTATATATGTGTTCGCTCTTCTCGCCGAAGACCCGGCTTCAATTCCCAGATGGACACAATGGGTGATAAATTGCGGTAAAACCCTAATTCTCATTCAAGCAGTCACAGTGGTGTTTAGTGGAGTAAAGAAATATCGATCAGGTAACGAAGACAACATTGTCAGCTGTTTCTACAGGGCGATTCTGTAGAGTGCGCTCCCTACACCGAGTTGGATGTACCCAGTTTGGGTACGTTGTACATACATGTCTACAGATGATTCATAAACATGCACAACATTCCTATTTATCGAGAAGTCGGTAACCAGGTCTAGATAATGCGAAGACGAGTATGAGTGCTGACGAAGTGTGAGTGGCGTATAGGTCACAACCCTCGCTGTTCTAACCTTCCAGCTGAAATAATTACCCTAACTGCTCAGGCAAAGAGATTATTTCGGATGAAAGGTCACAAGACATCATCCTTTTTGAAATGTAAAAGTGTTAAATTTTTATGAATATTTTTTAATTTGTAATTCCGGGTAAAAGCATGTGACACTATGGCGCCGAAATGTCACCTAGCTACCAGGGCCCGCTGACGTGGAATCGAATCTGAAATTGGTCCTGAATATAATTCTTTGTTTTTTGCATGTCAAGGGGCTTTGCCACACTGGACTTTCCTTCAACATCCAGCTGACACGCCGTTACTTACCTGCTTTGTTTGTTTGTTCGCTGCTTAACGCCGCACTCAGCAATATTCCAGCTATATGACGGTGGTCTGTAAATAATCGAGTCTGGACCAGACAATTTAGTGATCGACATCATGAGCATCGATCCACGCAATTGGGATACGATGACATGCATCAACCAAGTCAGCGAGCCTGACACCCGATCCCGTTAGTCGCCTCTTACGACAAGCATAGTCGCTTTTTACGGCAAGCATGGGTTGCTGAAGACCTATTCTACCCCGGATCTTCACGGGTCCGTAATTTACATGCAATACTGTTGAACACGGCGTGAAACCTGACCCTGTCATAACAGTAAAAAGGCCATTGTGACCAATTACCATCATGGCAGAGCAATATTTGAGGCGAGATGGAGGGGGATATAACTCACATACCCTCAGTATATGTATCTTACACGACCTGATTCTAAAGTACAAGGCCCCGTTCAACAAAGCGACCTAAGCTCAACGACAGTCGTAAGTCTATGTTAACGTATGGGATGTACGATTACCTTGGGGCTACGGTAGCTTTCTGGAACGGAACCCAGGTCTATTGAATACTACTATGTAAATTGCCGGGCAAAAGTACATACATACTTGAAAAATGGATTTGACCAAAACATTACGAACGTTATTAAAATAAAACGTTACACGCTTAATACAGTCGCCGAGATACTGCAAACTTCAGGTCCTAAACATAACTATGATACACATATCAAATACATCACCATCAAACAAGGGTGTGTGCTTTCTTTTCCCCAGCAGTTTAGCTTCAAATTTGTAACATCGGTGATGGGCCGGAAACGCCATATTTAAATATCAGATAGTCCTCGGAAAGCCGACCACCGATTCTGCTGTTGGTACCACGAACGCCAGATCAAAGAAATAGCCGTGAGTGCAGTGAACCGTTATTATCTTGCACTTCAAATTACAAAATTTCTTCAATACAAATCATCCACTGCCGCATCAAACTCGGGTGCAGTTACCTAATCGGACATAGATACGACAGATTTATACATTTTACATTTTAAACATTATAACATAACATGCTTAAATACGGTAAGGAAATTGATGAGCTGAACTCCTCTGTCCTCGTTGTGTTTACCTTGTTACGGGAGCACCAAATCCCGAGTCAATGAACCGTGTCTGAGCCCTTATTGGTCCCGGGAACGCCAAGAGGATTTTTCGCTCCCGGGCCGACACTGTTACATCAGATGGTACAAGTTCACCGTCTTTGTTCATCGATTGATGTCAAAACTGAATGGCAAACATTGCAGACCATCCCTTACAACTATCCGCGTGAGGAAGTAAAGTTGGAAAAAATATTTACTGGAATTAACAGACTGATCGTAGCATGTAATTCGATATCATATGGATTGACAAAAATGTGCCAACTGGAAATGAGTTTTGCATGCCTGATTATTTCCAACACGTTGATGCCAAGGTTTCCTGTTGTTTCGTCGCAGAGCTGCACAACGCATGGCTTTGTCTCCACTGCACGGGGGTGGAGGACCCATCTGAATGTAACGCTTTCAGACTCTGCCAGGAACCGATGGTAAGGAGATCATAGCCTAAGATTGTATCCTTTGGTTCTATTTACTTACTTTTGTCCTAAAAGACGACCAGAATTAAGATTAGACTGCCAACTAAGTGAGGGTACCGAAAGAGAGTTTGATGTTTATGTGGTAGTAAACAAAATTCTCGTAGCTTGTAAATACAGTAAAGTACGGTTATAACGAACTCAAGGGGGCTACTAATTTTAGTTCGTTATAACCGTAGTTCGTTATAAGCATACATACAGCATAACTACAGCAAATAGTCGGTACCAAAAAGTAAGTTCGTTATATCAGTCAGTTCGTTATAAGCGTGTTCGTTATAACCGTAGTTTACTGTAATCTATTGGGGACACGTCAACCAGTGGTTGAAATCATGAGCAATCTTTAACGTCTCGGAGTGTGGTTGCCGGGTAACCTGTGAGGTTCCAGGCCGTCAGGGTATGACCATCCTATCCTCATTTTAGGTAACTGGGAATGTCATACGGGAACACGCTGTTTTGGTAGAGACTAATGGGTCGGTATTGTTGTAGCATTGCTACACGGCGCTACAAATAGAACATATCCATGGCACTTTGGTAAATTATATCAATAGAGCTTCTTAGTCTAGATGTATCGACAGCCCAGGGACCCGTTGATGTCTTGGGTATGCCAGAAACCTAAACTTGTGGGATCGCATCCCGGTTCGCTCCGATTGTGTTTCTAGGTTTGTCAGGACCATGCCCGTGCTCGTGGGTTTCTCGAAAGTGGAAAAAGACCTGCATCACTTCTGGCTTCCCCCTTCATTGAGCTGACCCGCCGTGATATATATGGGATACTGTTAAAAGGCTGCGTTAAACCAAAGTCACTCACTCACTCATAAAAAACGGAAGCTTGTACGAGGCTTTCACAGTGAGTGAGTGAGTTGGGTTTAACGCCGCTTTATTATTCCAGTTATATCACGGCGTGTCAGCTTAATGTGGGAGGAAAGCCCGAAGTGATGCAGGTCTCAGACGTTTACCACTTCGGTAAAACCCACGAGTACGGGTTTGGTGCTGACAAACCTAGAAACATAATCGGGGCGAACCGGGATTCGAACCCACAATCATAGGTTTCTGGCGTGCCCATGGGACGCAACTCTGCACAGCGAATCGCGGCGCTTTAGGTGACTGGGCCACCCGTGTCCCCGAGGCTTGGACAGAAGAGAGGCACTTATTTGAAGTGATCTCATTTAACTTGAAATCCTTTGATGCTGGTGAAATACTACAACACCATAGAACGTTTACGAAATACATCTTTTGGCCTAAACACATTTCTACGGTGTAAAGCCATGGAAACATTTCCACATGTCAAGCACAAGGTAACAGAGGAATGAAAAACGTTACACATTTGATATGTGAAAACAGATCAGCTTAATCCAGAGCTCATACAGTACCAATAAAACCGTCAAAAACACAGACACAAATGGCCTCTTTACATAGCACCTTACGCTGTATTACCTGTAAAAAACAAGTCAAGACTCACTGGTAGTCATTGACCTTTATAAAGTATATATATTTCGGAAATTGCTTCACTGTTTTGATATACCGTATTCGACGTAATAAGCGCCCCGCTCTAATAAGCGCCCACGGAGATATTTGCTAATATACTGGCTAGTGAACAAACCCAATTAGCACCCCTTCCGATTTATCACTGTACACAAGATTTATATATTCGCGTATAATACGCACTCGTGTGTTATATGCACCCTTAATTATGGGCAAATAAATTCTGGAAAATATATCTGTCGTATATAAACATTTCAGGCTGTCAGCATAAACCACCAAATTTATATCTTTTAACTCTGTGTTTTTCACCAAAAAATATTCTGATAAGAGCCCCCTATTCCTAATTTTGAGAGCGCCCTGGGCGCTTATTACGTCGAATACGGTATGTTTAAGCTGGCAAAGTCCACCTACATCTTATTACATGATTGTTTCGTATAGCAGTTTATTTACTGGCTCATACTGAACCATATTGATAATAAATGTTTATTGTTCCTCACTAGATCTGCTTTGCCTCCAGCTACGTCTCTCCATCAGGACGGGTTCTATACGACATGGGCTGTAGCGATGCGCTGGTAGGAACATGGCTCTTTCTGTCAACGGTCGTAAGGCACTTGCATCAGAATCTTAATGATGGCAGTTGGTAGTTTAAATCCATATGTCAGTCCTGTCGTGATTGACACTACAGCGTCTAAATGCCAGTAAGGGACCGATCATTTAATTTTCAGTGGGGAGATAATTTCTTTGGAGAGATTAGATACGTTTTCAAATATAGCTGCAAAATAAGTTTTTATTAAAACTATGAGACTAAATACTTTTTAAAGAAATACACCTTGGGACAATGTAATTTTGTGGCACACAATTTCTTTTTTCTTCAATAGTCTGAAGCAGAATTACTTCTGAAAAATTTTCGTCCAAAGAATTTGTTGCGACAAAATTCCAGCCCCCGCATAATTAGAATATGCAATTGTTGGTCCGTAACAAATAACGCACATGGAACCTCAAGAATCGACGGAGACAAATATTTAAAATATCTTGTCAATGAGTAATATAAAATACAAATTGATATCGAGCAATGCATACTAGCGTATAAAGGCCACGCTTGTCGCCAGGTTGTGTTATGTCAACTGATCGTCACGTGAACCACTGGAACTAGTGAATTCAGTTCCAATCTGGATGCCTCCCAATGCTGTTCCCGGTGGCGTATGTATGGTGGCTATGTCTATCTGCACGTATCTATAGTTTCATCTTTTCCAGAACCAACACGTCGTCTGAATGTTTCAGAATCTGGCAAAGATGACATTTGCGCCAAGTCCATCGTTGCCGGCTCAGATGACCTTGCCCGCGGGGTCTGACCAGAATCGATATCTGTGTGACCGGCTGTGTTTTTCTCATTTCTGCAACTACAGACTGTGTCCGAGTTATAGTACGTATGATGTTACCATTACTGAATCCCCCTTAATCCACTAGACACATGGAATATCCTATTTATTATATCCTTTTTGTGTAGTTGTCTGCCAGAAAATTGAATTATGTCATTACAATTGTAAAACCTTGAAACGTAAATTCTCCCTACCTAACACGCAGGACGTTTCACCACCAATTGTAATTGCGACTTATAAAGTAGTTCCGTGTTTGCAAAACCTTAAAATCTATAAAAAGCAACAAAACATATTTATGGCCACGGAAATTCTTTATCATTCATTTGGATATGATTATATACAAAATCAGCTTAAACAAAAAAATTATTCTTGAAATCTACGAGACAGCTGTTGGCAGCGAAAGAATACACGCTGGTCAAGTACCGAAAATGGCGCTTTTCGAACAGAACAGTCTCGATTGACGAGTCAAATGAGAAATTTACAGTTTATAACAAAACATTTTCGAGAGAATAACGAACGGCATGAAGCGATATTAACTCCATAAATGACCATCTGTCATTAGTTTGCCTTGTTAATGTGGAACTAACGTAAAGTCAGCAAACAAACAAATCATATGATCATATGGTCCCTGGTGTCCTTTGTATGAAAACAAGCATCGCTGTTATATACCTATGAACTGACACTCGTATGTATGTACATGGCAGTGTTATTACTCATTATTCTGGCAAATAATTTTTGTTAAATCCTGCGAGTCCACATGACTGGATCTCTTAAAGTGATCCTCTCCTGATCCCCTCTTGGAGTAGGCCACAACTGTTTCATATGAACTAGCATTGTCAAATTGGCGAATGATACCGTTATGTATCATTACCAAAGTGTTTCTCTGACTAAACTACAGAATCGCAGACGAATATTCGCTGTGTGAGCTGCACTGACGTCAGTCATCCTAACCGATGTGAAAGAATAAAAACATGTACCGCCCACGAGGTACGTCAATTGAAGTATAACAATGTTATGTTACTGTGTTTAAAGGACAGAGAGCAAACAATAACACCAATCTCATTTCAAGAACAGTTTTTTTTTTATCCCGCCGAGAAAGCTGGCAAATTTCGTAAAAGAGGGCTAATCAAAATGTAGAGAAGCCATATTTGACTTGTCATTCAAACACACATGGCAAGCAAGACGTTTCTTTTATTTCACATGTCTTTATAAGAGTTCACTATACGTTGGATTTTTTTTAACTTTTTTATTTATATCAAACTGTGGCCATATAATCATTTAGCCCACGTAATTATTAATAGAAACCTCATTTTGGTCCGCTATAATAATTTTGTGGATGTTTGTGATATCACAATCTCTTTGCAGTTAGGTGAATGTTTTGTATGCTTTATAACTAGTCAGAAAGTGTTTCCCGATAACTGTCAAATCTGCAGTACTCACAGGCCCTACGGACAATAGCCTCAGCATCATTTAGAATCCTCTGTCGCTGTGTTTACTGTTGCCGTTTGAAATACAGGCATTGTGTGTATGTTGTTTAATACCGCACTCAGATATATTCCAGGTGCCAGACAAGGCAATCCAGTGATTCGACTATGCTTGCCCTAAGAGACGACTATGCTTGCTGTAAGTGGCGACTATGCTTGTCGTAAGGGGCGACTATGCTTGCCCTAAGAGACGACTATGCTTGCTGTAAGTGGCGACTATGCTTGTCGTAAGAGGCGACTATGCTTGCCCTAAGAGACGACTATGCTTGCTGTAAGTGGCGACTATGCTTGTCGTAAGGGGCGACTGACGGGATCGAGTGGTCAGGCTCTCCTGGTTGATGAATGCCATCGCATCCCAATTGTGTAGATACATGCATATGCTCACTGGATTGTGTGGTCAATATTCGATTATTTACAGACCGCCGTCATACAGCTGGAATACTGCTGAGTGCGGCGTTAAATAACGCAGACATTTTAACAACAGCGTACATAGCTGACATATTAACATGTGTTTGTCCTTGCCTTCTAGACGTGCATGTATCGGACTTACATCAACGACGTCTTAGAGATTCGGTACGCGATGGGCTGCATGTCCAAGCGGGTGTGTACATTATATATCGTACCTATGTGTATAACGGTAATGGGTGTACGTGTCTTAATGCGGCTTCACGTTTCCAAATTTCCAAACTCCAAAACGCATGCTAACTTGTGTTTTAACACGAAACATATGTGTCGTTGTTACTGGGTTCCACAGCATGTCTTTCATATGTCGACGCCATTCTGTAGCAGACATAAGTAATAATGATGTGATATCTACGCAGTATCGGATGAACCAACATAGGTTAACACGTGAAAATGGTGTTTGAAACCACTAGAATGTTGGTCAAAATATTGTATATCTCGCCAACAGTTTGTCCAACTTCACAAACTAGTTTGCAAACTGATTTATGCAATGTTATAAAGTAAGCTCTCAATGCCATTAGACCCATGAAGATCCGGGGTAGAATAGGTCTTCAGCAACCCATGCTTGCCGTAAAAGGCGACTATACTTGTCGGAGGAGGCAACTAACGGGATCGGGTGGTCAGGCTCGCTGACTTGGTTGATGCATGTCATCGATCCCAATTCCGTGGAACGAAGCTCATAATATTAATCACTGGATTGTCTAGTCCAGACTCGATTATTTACAGGCCACCGTCATATAGCTGGAATATTGCTGAGTGCGGCGTTAAACAACAAACAAACAAAACAAAATTAATAAATAACTTTCATGCCATTTAAGACGAATCGTTGCTTTCGGATTTATATCTTTTTTGCATTTCATCGGTACGATTTTGCACCAAACGGACTGTTGGTGACATGAACCGACTCACTCACCCCCTCACCCCCTCACTCACCCCCTCACTCACTCACTCACTCACCCCCTCACTCACTCACTCAATCAATCACTTTGCAGATATGCGACACACACGAGGGAAGGAGGCGGCAGTTAACTATTGATTGTTGTGATACGGATTTCTGCAACATGCTGTCTGCTATAGGTAGGTCGTGTTTGTTTCTTTACGCACGTAGCTGATATCTTTGAAATATATATTTATGTAGCAAATGCGATCGCTTGTAAAAACGGGTTCGATGTCTGCGTTGGTAAATTTTGGCAGCGATACCGAATTGCAGTCAGGTGGCCTCGTGCGCCACAATTAGCTGTGTAGAGTTGCGCCCCTTAGCCATTCCAGTATCCGCAGAACGAACCCGATGTGCTCTCAAATTAGAATTACCTATCAGTGTCTACCTCCTGTATTATTATTTCTCTCACTCGCTGTCTCTTTCTCTCTGCCTCTATCTATCTCTCACTCCCCTATCTCTCTTTATATCTCTTTCTGGCGCTCTCTCACTCACCTCTCTCTCGCTGCCTCTCTCTCTCACTCCCCCTCTCTCTTTCTCTCTCTCCATATAAAAATGAACTTGAGCTGGAATGAACAACACCTGAGTGCTGATTATACTATCTCCAACATGTATGCTGTTATCTTGGTTGTTTTTATCTGTTCAGGGGTACCATTGACGTCTACATCTACAACATCGACAAGTGATTTCACTACTGTTGACGTGAAAACTACAACACTTACCCTAATCACGACTACAACTACTACCTTGATTCCGACAATAACGACTTCAACAACAACGCCTTCTACAAGTATAACAACCACTACACCGAGCACCACACAACGAATTGCAGGTCCGACGATTTCAATGCGTCAGCAACAACCAATCGGCAGAATTATGCAGAAAAGGATTTTTTTTCAATTTTTAATAGTTTTGATTCAAATAAAATTCTTAAATAAAAAAACAACGTAGAAAGATACTTTGAGTGATGACTAAGCGCCAGTACAGTTCAAAGTTGGAAATAATATCGCTAAGTTACGATATTTTCAACTGAAAATCATATGATAAATTCAACTGATAGGTATAGTTTTTATATTCAAACTATTCCAGAAAAAGCTACAGTGTTACGGTGAGCTACAGAGTTTGGTGGGTCTACTTTTCATTGTGAATCACATTTCACTCCTATATCACGTTTTACATGTATGATGCCGTTGCAAAATGTTATTCCAACCCGTTAAGATCCAGGAAGAGAATAGGTCTTCAGCAGCCCATGCTTGCTGTAAGGGGCGACTATGCTTGTAAGAGGCGACTAACGGATCGAGTGGTCAGGGTCGCTGACTTGGTTGATGCATGTCATCGTATACCAATTGCGAAGATCGACGCTCATGATGTCAATCACTGGATGGTCTGGTCCAGATTCGATTTTTTAGAGATCGCGGTCATATAGCTGTCATACTGCTGGGTGCGGCGTTATACAACAAACCAACCAAATCAATGTTCTTCCACAGATGGGCCGTTGTGCTTGTCCTGTCAGTCATTCAGTCAGCGGAAAGGATGCTCTACTCTATCAACTTGTCGGTCGGACCAGGTCAGTCAAGATGATAGGGACCGACCATTTGATAATCTGGGGGCGGGGGCCTGGTGTTTTGTATAATGATTAATTACTTTTTTCAACTACAGCTACAAAACAAGTTCTTTTTGTATTCAAAACTATGAGCCTGATCTTTTTAAAAGAATAATACCTTGCAACAATGTATTTCTTTTTCAATAGCCTTTTACGAATTATTTCTTTCTGTTACATTAGTTTTTTATAGAATTTCGCAGGCAAAATAGACATGTTTTTTACCTGTAATATCTTCTCCGCAGATGTGTTATTTTTCTGTGAACCAATCGGAAAAGGGACTGACGTATTCCGCGGGGTGTTCGTCGAAAACAGTAAGTACGGTAGTCCGTGACTTGAAACATGAAGGGGAACAGGAGGCTAAGTGTTCTAAATGTACGACCCCGCAATTTTCTACACAGAGTTGCATTCCTTATGTGTACCAGGATCCGATGATCCTCAGTTTGAATCTCTGCTTCACACTGATTATGATCTTCGGTTTGTCTGCACCAACACAAGCTGGTGGGTTTCATCATATATATATGATATATCCAAGACATGTGTCACTGTCCTCCCACATCAAACTGACCGCCTCCGTGGTCTAGTGGTAGAGCGTCCGCCCCGAAAAGCGGAAGGTCTGGGGTTCGATCCCCGGCCGCGTCATACCAAAAGACGTTAAAAGATGGTACTTGTTGTTACCCTGTCTGGCGCTCGGCATTAAGGGGCTGAACAAGGACTGGTCGGCTCGGAGTCAGTATACTGTGTCTGAGTGGGGTATTCATGTTAAACTGCGGTATGGTATCTCAGTGGGCTAGCACTATAAATCGGCATCAGGCCGGACTAGTACAAGTAGCCACACACACACACACACACACACACACACACACACACACACACGTGCATGCACGTCGCTATATAAGTGCAATAATCTTGGACGTGACGTTAAACCCCATTTAAAAACAACTAACAACTGTACACGGTGTCGCTAAGCCCAAGTCTCCCCAAGCGTGGAAACCCAACCCGACCGCATTGCTGTCAATTAAGATTTCATTGTATTCAGGTGTCTGTATTGTCATGGCAATACATAATAAAGGTTGGTGTTTTGTTTCTTTGTTGAAAAACGCCACAATTAGCAATATTCAAGCCATATGGCGGCGGTCTGTAAATAATCGAGTCTGGACCAGACAATCTAGTAATTGACATCATGAGTTTCGATCTACGCAATTGAGATCGATGACATGCATCAACCAAATCAGTGAGCCTGACCACCCGATCCCGTTAGACTCCTTTTACGACAAGCATAGTCGCCTTTTACGGCAAGGTTGAGTTGCTGAAGACCTATTCTACCCCGGATCTTCACGGGTCACATATCGAAGTTCAAATCTATTTCCATCAAATGAGAACGTAGCACATTTCACTTCTTTTAACAAGACTGCTGCAATAATGTGTGAGAGAAGGAGTTAATGTTGTTTAACGCCGCAGATATAGCCATGAAGCACACACCATTAGCTCGTATATGCCTGGTAAACAGGGGGTTGATAGCATGAACAATGAAATAATAATAGTGGGTATATTAATAATCCACACACTGGATCATTCTGAAAGCGCTACACCACTATTAGCCCGATGTGCTCTGAAATGTTACTCTCAGCTCCCTGGGGAGTATATAACCCAATCTACCTATGAGGCGCAAGAAGGTTAACTGTCAAATACTACCGGGTACCTATTTTCAGCTGGGCGAACAAAGCCATACTTTGGACAAAATATTTCTTGCCTAAAGAGACACCGAATTTCGAAAATAAACTGTTTCAGAGTTGTGCAGGGCGCCCTAGAAAATCTCAGGGGGCAGGATTGCACTCGGTCACCCATCCCGCTACTCTGCGCGACCAACGTTGCGTGTGACCTTGCCATTTTCAGAAGGCCACGTCCGTGCCAATATGCGAGGGCATGCGACCAACCAGGGGGCGTATGCATCAAATAATTCAATTAATTTCCTGACGGTTGACCCAGCGTGTGTTCAAGGCATGGGCTCATTCAAGGATTATTATTGTACATTGCCCTGTGTTCTTGACCGGGGTCAATATCACCGAGGCCCGACGGTCAGTAAATACGTTATCACACTATATGTCATTTACTATAACGTGTTTATGTTTCCTAATGTAATATCAGTTTTACCAGGGTGTATTATTGGATCGTTTCATCGTCACAGTAATGCGTTTCTTTACCAGCTTGCCGCCATATTTTAAATTGATGTCGATGTCATCCCGTGCGGCATTTGATTGACAGCCGCGTTGTCTATTTCTGACAGTCCAGTTCGGAATGAAAATGTATACACACATTTGACGAGAGGCACTGTTTAATATATTACGCATTTGTCCCCCTTCAAAATCTCTCAAATGGAATCCACTAAAGGCAATTAAATTAGAACATATGTAAGAGAGGCTCTCTATTTTTAGAAAATATGTGGGCATTTCTTAACATGAAATCACTTTCTCAGGTTTCCTGAGTATCCATTAGTAGCTGCAATGCTGTTAACGAGGGGGTGAAAGCGGCTATGGGAACAGACTGAACGTGTTCACACAAAGCACTCGCTAAATTCTTAGTCTATAAACGAAGTCCTCTTTCTGTGACTAAATCTAAGTAAAAGGTACCTCATACACCTGAAGCAATGAATATAATGGCTCACGTAAATCCTTAAAAGATTAGTTGTGGTAAGGATGTTGTTTAATTTAAAGAAAACTTTGAAACACTGGAATTGCTGACAAAGAACATTTTTTTTCCAATTTCAGTAACATAAGATCTTAGTGCCCGCTATCGCTACGCAGATGTCTAAGGACATCGCATTACGGGTCTCGTCAGAACAACCTTTCGTCCGAGTGGTCAGACCGTCGCTTACGAGGTCGCGAAAGTGAAAGACCGAATGCTTTTTTTAAAGGTTGGCACGTGGTTTTCCGAACGACAGTTACGGTCTGTGCTATTGATGCCGAATGCAACAGCACTGTCTATATATCGTTTCAATGGAATAAACATGATTAATAGAATAAACTTTTCATATCCCGTGGGAAGTACTACATACAAACCGAGCTGTCTATGAATCATTAACGAATTTTGTTTTGTTCAGTTTTTAAATTTTGAATCATGAACTTTGTCCAACTATTTTTCAAAGCGTAGTCTGGAATGGAAGTCGCCATTTTGAAACGTGTGGCGAAAACCTCGAGAAAGCTGCCTTCTGATTGGCTCATGTCTACATCCTGCTAGTCATTTTAGTGTGATACTCACTCACTCACTCATCATCAGTTCAGCTGATAGAAGTTCTGAAAGACTCAACTTGATGACACAAATCAGATATTGGTTTCTCGCATAAGAGGCCCCAAAAGATTCATATATTATAAAAATAAATTAAAATTACATTCATCTCGTTGGTCTGGATCACTGCGATTGCGAAATTTAAAACATAACATATTAAACCCGCCTCACCGTGATTGAAATCGATTTTCTGCGAGCCAGGTGACTGGAGTATTGACAGTTGAATTGCACGTCACTAATAAACCCCAGCCCACGCCGGGATGCTGTTAAATGTTAAATGTTATCTTTATAATATTTCTCTAGACCAATGTACTAGAATCTGTTCAATAAGAAGAAGGAAGATAGAATATATGTTAACTATTCAGTACAATAGTGACAGTATTGAATACATTTATTTATTTCTGTGTGATCATTTTTGACGACATTAGGAATTTATATATGTATATTCAATATATTTAATAATAATATTGAATATTTTAACCCAAAAAGTAATAACACAAACAACAGCCCCGGACAATCAGAACGTGTGCGTCAACAATGGAACTGGTGACCACACCCTCTGCTTTGCCTCAGCCCTTGATGTTCATGTAGTTAGGATTTAAACTTAATTTACGGACACAAAAAAAAATTCAGTGACAAAAAGCCCAATCAATGAACCTTCTGAAACGCTTCTGGGTCAGGATATGGACTAACTGGCAGCGCTTTACGTAATGTGATATAAGGTGTTATACAATAACTGTTAAATGTAACAAGTTATGTTATCATAAGATAGCATCATACCATGTTCTGCAATACGTTTCAGTGTGACATATGGTTAAAATCATGAAATTATCTTATTATTGAGAATGTGCAATGAATAAAACTTAAAATACCTTATTATTCTTGTTTTATACTCATTTTGTTTGTTTGTTTGTTAGGGCTGTCAGCTGTAACCACTGAACCATGAAGTTGTTTTGACGACAATGTGCGCAAAGTGCATTGTATGCAATCAAAGACGTCGCTGGGATATTTCTGACTGCGGTGTAAAACAACATTCACACACCCAATTACGTCGCCAGAGTCATATATTTTTCTGTATATTTTCCAACATTCCTTGAACAATATATCTATTCAGCTTTGCAGTGGATTTGGAAGTACACTCATTGGAAAGAGATCTGAAGAATTACCGAGACGCCTCGATCCCTTTGAGATGAAGAGAGACGCGTCCCTTCAACGATGCTTTCAGTGTTGCGATTTCAACTTCTGTAACTATGATCTGTGTCCGTCCATCTTACGATCAACACCTGTGGGTCAGTAACTAAAGATGATATGATTGTCAATATTCCGTACTTGCTGGTTCTCACTGCTAAACGGGGCACAGTTGGCCCAAGCGTCTAAGGCGCCGCAATTCGCTGTGCTGAGTTGCGGCCCTTGGGCACGCGAGGAACCTATGACCATGGTTTCGAATCCCGGTTCACCCCTATGATATTTCTTGGTTTGTTCGCACCATACTCATGCTCGTGGGCTTCACCAAAGTGGTAAAGATCTAAAACCTGCATCACTTCAGGCTTTCCTCCCAAATCACGCTGCTGACATGCCGTTATAAATGGAATACGGCGTTTCAACCAATTTCACTCCCTCGCTCTCCCTTACTGTCGTATTCTTTATGGAAGGTTTCACTCTGAAATTCTTGTAGTTTGCATGTTACATCCCTAACATCACCAATACCACATATATATTAATGACAATTTAAAGTGAGTGAGTTGGGTTTAACGCCGCTTTTAACAGTATTCGAGTTATATCGCGGCCTGTCAGCTAAATGTGGGAGGAAAGCCCGAAGTGATGCACGTCTCAGACGTTTATCACTTCGGTGAAACCAACGAGTACGGGTATATATGTGCTGACAAATCTAGAAACATAATCGGGGCGAACCGGGATTCGAACCCACAATCATAGGTTTCTGGTGTGTCCAAGGGACGCAACTCTGCACAGCGAATCGCGGCGCCTTAGACGACTGGGCCACCCGTGTCCCCTGACAAATAAAATGACTTTTAACACACAGGGTTCATTTTAACACACAGGGCTCATTTAAACACTCAGGGTTCATTTTAACACACAGGGTTCATTTTAACACACGAGGTTCATTTTAACACACAGGGTTCATTTTAACACTCAGGGTTCATTTTAACACACAGGGTTCATTTTAACACACGAGGTTCATTTTAACACACAGGGTTCATTTTAACACACAGGGTTCATTTTAACACTCAAGGTTCATTTTAACACACAAGGTTCATTTTAACACACATGGTTCATTTTAACACTCAGGGTTCATTTTAACACACAGGGTTCATTTTAACACTCAGGGTTCATTTTAACACACAGGGATCATTTAAACACACAGGGTTCATTTTAACACACGAGGTTCATTTTAACACACAGGGTTGATTTTAACACACAGGGTTGAATTTAACACACAGGGTTGATTTTAACACACGAGGTTCTTTTTAACACACAAGGTTCATTTTAACACACAGGGTTCATTTTAACACTCAGGGTTCATTTTAACACACAGGGTTCATTTTAACACTCAGTGTTCATTTTTACACTCAGGGTTCATTTTAACACTCAGGGTTCATGTTAACACTTAGGGTTCATGTTAACACTCAGGGTTCATTTTAACACATGAGGTTCATTTTAACACACAGGGTTCATGTTAACACACAGGGTTCATGTTAACACTCAGGGTTCATTTTAACACACAGGATTCATTTTAACACGCAGGGTTCATTTTAACACTCGGGGTTTCGTTCTTCCTTTTCTGATGACTGACAAATTTAGGGGTGAGGGGAGAATAGGAATGTATGTTTTGCCTCTGTTTTTAAAAAAAATAAATCAATATGGGCTTCTCCCTTCCTTCTCCCAGCCTCCAATGCTTGTTTCTTTGGTTCCTACACCCTAATATAATTAAAATAAGTAATTGATCTAAAATATGCTTTAATAGTTTTGTTTTTTCTTGGTTTCAGGATGAAAAGATGCCAGGTGCGGAAAAAAAGGAAGGGTATTGCTCCTCAGTGTTTGATACATGTGTATGAATATCATCACTATACAAATTTATTCTTCATTAAATGAATTGATTTCTAATAGACGTTTTAAATATGGTTTTTTTTATATTTTACAATTCAAAGTGCCCAGTTTCATTCAAGGCAAATGATATGATGAAAGAAATGATGGAAGGTTGTGTACAACGTTTGAGTGAGTGAGTTAAAATTTAACGTCACATCGGCAATATTTCAGCAATATCGTGAGTACAACGTTTGAAGTGCACAGAGATGAACAGTTGTTTATCATGATGTGTGTGAGTAAGTGAGTTTGGTTTTACGCCGCTTTTAGCAATATTCCAGCAATATCACGTCGGGGGACACCAGAAATGGGATTCACACCAGGGCTGGGACGGGTAACTCGGATACCCGGGTCGGGTGGGTACTGAGTAGGACCCGGGTATCCACAGGACTTCCCGGCCCCGTGGTTAGTCACGTGATATATTGTTTCATGACCAAAATTCACTATATAACTACATGGTTACACGACAATTTTAAGTCTCTAATGTTCGCATTTCTTCATGACTATGAACACGTTTCTTCTGACTTAAATATGTTTGAACAAAGCTAAACTTCAGTCAACTTCAGTGTATGCATGACCACATCGTTTTATACGTGTACCTAAAATCATTCTGCCAGGGCTATTGTCAACCTATTCTCAAACGGACATTTTGTACCTATCTCTTGACACCAACAGCGAGTACCCGGGTAGGGTCGGGTAATAGGGATGTGGGTACCCGGGTAGTAAATTTCGACTCGTCCCAGCCCTACTTCACACATTGTACCGCTGTCGGGAATCGAACCCGGGTCTTCAGCGTGACGAGCAAACGCTGTAACCGCTAGGCCACCCGACCGCCCGTTTACCCTGAAGAAATTACATGTAGAAACAAGAGTTTGCAGCAGGGATACCAATTACATGGACAAGTAAGCTGTGTTACTCGTCTCACATCAGCAAAACAGCTTAAAGCATGTATAAAACCTTAAAGATTACACATAGGCATTAGTCCCGTAAATTCCCAGACAGTTTTTGTTATATCAGAGAGAACTCCTGGCGGGACAATAATGTTATTTTCATCTCCTTATGCTATTTCAATTGTTGTGTAATTGCAGTAATGCACGGGTAATGTGTTATGACAAACGCAAGAAGTGCTTTCCCCACATTACGGGTGTTTAGACAGTAATCGCGTCACCGCAGAATCTATTTGCCCTCTGTCCAAACCACATCCACGCATTTCGAAACACGCCCAGTCTCGTGGTCTGTGCATTCTCTTAGCGATAATTACACTTTTCCATTTGCTAGACTAAATGATTTGGGAAGTTTCCAAATTCGCATCAGTGATAAGCTTTTAATCGCCAAAACAGCGGGCAGAAACGACCACTTCCGCTTCGTCAAAGCATACCAATAGTCAGCGCTGTGTCGGATTTTAGACGCCTGCTCATTTGGTCATTTTCGAAATATATGAGCACATTCCGGTATCTGACAATCCAATCAGCTAGACAGACGCATTGCATTATTAGCCCTATGACGTGCAATTGTGATTTGTAATAGTTCTATATAACTGTCTTGTGTTGAGAGGTTCGGACAACATTTTATCGTGATTGACCACTGATGTTCTGATTTCCTATAGGTTTAAGAGCCAGGCTGGGCTTGTTCGGAAAGCAATTTACTGACCGGATAGGTGTGCAATGTCCTTCCCGAGAGAGTAATTGTCGCAATGAATTCTCGCTTTTGATCAAGGTCATATAATAGCATTCGTGCAATACGCTTGGACAGTTAGTGTGATTTCTGGCGGCTATCAATCAAGGCAACAGCGGATCTTAAGGTAAGACTAATTCTTTTGGTATTCGTTGATGGTGTATGATTATAAAGAAATGTTTACTTGACATGGGAATTTTATAAAATTTACTGTAATATTTAGCGCGTATTTTAGTATTTGCCTTAAGGTTGAAATTTTATTAATATTGTATTATAAGACGGAATGAAACAGGTGTAAATGTGTGCATTGTTATAATATATTTTATGTAACAAGCATTGTCGACAAGCAGAGTTACGAACCTCAGGCGTATCAGAAACCTATGATCAAGGGTTCGAATTTTCTCACCAGTTGATTCTTTGTTAACACCTTAACCGTACTCGTGGGTTTTACCAAAGTGGTAAACCTCTAAGACCTGCATCACTTCGGGCTTTCCTCTCACATCAAGCCGACACGCCGTGATGTAACTGGCATGATGTTTAAAGCGGCGTTAAACCCAACTAGTGTTTGTTACACAGTGATTGTCCATCAGTTAGATGATAAATGTTGGGTTGTAGTTTGTAAGGAATTTTGTCAGAACCTGAGCTCGTAGGTTTGTCAAAGTGGTTAAGATGTCAGAGCTGTCACTTTGGTCTTCTCTAACATAACAATGACCCAACCTCCAGCAACTATTCAACCAAAACCAAACCCTCTCACTCACTAGCATCTTGACAGATGTCCGAAACATGGCTTAAATGTGACATTTTAGTACTTGTTAATGTATCTTAAGTGGCAATTTAGATGTGAAGACGTATGTGTATTGACGTATGGATTTAACGATTCGTTTCTCTCTGCTTGCACTTTTAATAAGTACCGAAACAGAGAAATAGACGTATTGAAATCCAGGAGTCCACTCTGTGTTCCCTTGTTGACAATTCCACTCATACTACACGTTATCTATGCTCATCCCGGGACACTAATACCGAATCCTTACTTCATGTATAGTGGGACTGCAAGCATGTTAAAGAGTTTTGGGCCAAAGTCGAATAATTTCTGAATGCAAAATGTACAAAACAATTAACATTTAAAAAATGCTCTGTTTTACGTGGGTACAACTCTAAGATTCTGTTAAATCACATCATACTGACATGCAAAAAATATATACATTTAACAAGTATATAGAAAAACAAATTGTCACTTGAAAACTTTCTTTAATCGATATATTTCGGATAGAGGAATCAAATGTACGCAAAAGCAATACAATCAGACAATTTGACAGAAAATGGAAAAAATTGGCAAATGAACTGTCTTGTTAATATGTCTCTCTATTTTGAGCATGGAAAATTCCCACTAATGTGCTGCATGGATTTAGCTTCACACTTAGTCAATGATGATCCCAATAAGCATGGCAAGCGTAGCCTGCTGGTTTCACCACTTGTTAACATTATATCGTACACCTGTAACCTGACTTGCCAACTACAGTTTGCTGTCTGTATAGGTATGTAACCTGCACTTAATAATTACAATATTACATGTCATGTTACTGAATGTGAAAGTATGTAACATCATATACTGAATTGAATAAATATATTTTAAAAAATACTTACAATATCGTATCCGACTGAATTCTTCCATACTTACGATATCATATCCTACTGATTTTCCCAATACTTGCAATATCATATCCTACTGAATTAAATAAAGAATATTTATTCTTTTATTAAAGAATACTTACAATATCGTATCCTACTGATTTTCTCAATAATTACAATATCATATCCTACTGATTTTCCCAATACTTACAATATCGTATCCTACTGATTTTCTCAATACTTACAATATCGTATCCTACTGATTTTCCCAATACTTGCAATATCATATCCTACTGAATTAAATAAAGAATATGTATTCTTTTATTAAAGAATACTTACAATATCGTATCCTACTGATTTTCTCAATAATTACAATATCGTATCCTACTGATTTTCTCAATGCTTGCAATATCATATCCTACTGATGTTTTCCATATTTACGATATCGTATCCTACTGATTTTCTCAATACTTATAATATCGTATTCTACTGATTTCCCCAATACTTCAAATATCATAATTATCCTACTGATTTTCTCAATACTTACAATATCGTACCCTACTGATTTTCCCAATACTTCAAATATCATATGAGGTTTCCAGATTCATATCAGCATTTTCGTTTCGGAAGATACTAATATTCTTCCTCTCGTTTTCTTAAATCAGTGCGACAAACAGGTACTGTAATAACATCCATCACATATCGTCACGCGAGACTCGTCATCAATCAAGCAGATTGCTGCCCGACATCTGAATCCGCTCAGATCAACAACTCAAATGCCAAGGAAATTTTGAATTCTCGTAAATACAGAAATGTAACGTTTACCCTGATGAATATGCATGAGCGGAAAGGCCAGGGGTGAAGGATATACATAAGAATAATACGTGAATCACGCCCACGACACACATCAGTGCCCTCTATCAGGTATATGAGGAAATAATTAGGTGAGCGAACGAAAAACACTGCAGCGATCCTCATGTTCGAGTGTCTTTTTCGTGCAAAAGCTAAACTGCCACGTGATCATGTTTAGCTCGTGCCCCACGTGCATATTCCAACCACCCAGAAGGTATCGGTGCCACATGCAACCCATGCTTGTTGTAAGAAGCAACTAAACTCAATTATTTACAGACCGCAGTCATATAGCTGGAATATCGCTGAATGCCGCGGTGAAGAAACAACAGGCAGTAGTTTTAACATATTGTTTTGTTTTGACCGATTGATTTGAACCTGAAACACACATATTTAAAGCAAACACGGTGAAAATAGCACATCTATCAATGTGGTTTTGTAGATATTGGCAGCCAATAAATATGAATGTCTTTTTTTCAGTTTATAGCAGTGATGAAGATCGCACCTGTGCTGCCTGTGTTCATCTGCCTGTGGGGTGAGTAGTACAACAGGATTTTTGGTTTGTTTGTTTGTTGTTTAACGCCGCACTCAGCAATATATTCCGGCTATATGACGGCGGTCTGTACATACTCGAGTCTGGACCAGACAATCCAGTGAGTGACATCATGAGCATCGATCCACGCAATTGGGATCCGATGACATGCATCAGCCACGTCAGCGAGCCTGACCACCCGATCCCGTTAATCGCCTCTTACGACAAGCATAGTCGCCTTTTATGGCAAGCATGGGTTGCTGAAGATCTATTCTACCCCGGATCTTCACGGGTCTAGTACCACAGGAATCTACAGGAATCTACACACTTTTGTAAATGGGAGGGTCAGTGAAGTCTTACGCACCAATCAGCATTGTGTTCCAAATATACTCATCAAAAGAAGTCAAAGAACGATTCGTTCATGCCATGACAGATTAATTATAGAATATGACACAATCGGATCTTCGTCAGCTTCTTTTGAGTTGTATATATCACGATTGCATGTAAATATTCAAATCAACGCCAGACAGCCCAGTGGTTGGTTTATTAACTCGATATATCGTTTACATCGTTTAAATACACTGGTTTGCCATTGGCACCATAATAGTCTCGAAACACGGATAGCGCAAGTCCGATTGGTTTGGTTTGTTGTTTAAAGCCGCACTCAGCAATATTCCAAATATATGACGGCGGTCTGTAAAATAATCGAGTCTGGACCAGACAATCCACTGATTGATATCATGAGTATCGATCCACGCAATTGGGAACGATGGCATGCATCAACCAAGTCAGCGAGCTTCACCACCCGATCCCGTTAGTCTCCTTTTACTAAGTTCGAACCCACCCTTTAGGTTCCTTCAACTGGGATTCTTCTCAACGGCAGACTATTGTTTCGGTTACCGTTTCAACGTACACTCTATGTATGAAAAGAAAAGGCGGGTCTTTTAAAAAATTCAGGCCATGCAGCATTCGGCCCTCAACCGTCTTTCACTTTTTATGGTTACAAGAACATATTGCAATTATACCATGCGTTATAATGTTCATATCTTTGTACTCTTTAGTATGCTTCCTGCATGAAGAGATTTGTTTCGATTCTGATATCACATGCTCTTCTGATACCGTATGGATATTTATTTCAATAACTGACATCGTGAATGTCAGACAGGTTGATATACTTTCAACCAAATCATGATATTATGAAACCTGAAATACTTAAATCATAAAATGCACCCCACCTTCATACTAGTCTGTATCCGTGAGTGACCCCGCTTCTCATCGTCACCATTGGGCATGACAATGGTTATCCTGTTATTTTTCTATTCCAGCTGGATCAATGGCTTTCTTAGATTTTTCCGAGCGAATGATCCCGACTTTTCTACTTCCGCTTTTCGACCATAACGACGACGGTGTTCTTAGCAACGGGGAGATCGAGGAAGTGAAGAGTCACCTCCCTTCGTTTGGATTCAACAGTGGGGAGACGAGGCTACTCATGGCCACGGCCGATAAGAATAAAGATGGCGTGTTGAATGCTTCCGGTAAGAAACGTTTCTTCATTAAGCAATGTTGTACTTAAAAAATCAAGGCACTTGTTTCAATGATGGAAAGGCTGTACAGAGTTGCGTCCCTTAGGCGTGCCATGATCCTGTGATCATGGTTTCAATCCCAGCTTCGCCTTGCTTATGATCACCATGTCCGTACTGTTGGCTTCAGCTTCATATCCGTACTCTTAAAAGTATCTCAGATTTGCATCACTTTAGGCTTCCACGACAGCTCACACGCCGTGATATAAACTGAACTACTGTTCAAAACGGCGTAAAACACTACTCACTCTTGTTTCATGAAGAAACACCGTTTGTATAAAAGGATATTTTGTCTTTCAGAATTCAAAGACCTATACCAGCTGATCATGGCCGAGCAGATCCTGCGACTGGAAGAGGCCATCAACAAATAAGGTTCGACCCCAGCATCCCTGTTTAACATCTCCCGCTTGACCTGACTCCTGGCGACCTGACGATGGTTTGGCTTGTCACTCAAACACTTGTCCGAGTGAAATGTGCACTTAGAATAGCTCTACCTACCAATATGTATTTTTGAATAAAATAGTATTTGTACAATGCATTTCATTTCGTTAATGGACGATGCCCCGGTCAACTGACATACGAAATACCCCATGAGACGGTCGGAAAGCCTTGTGGTTAACTCACTAACAACGAAACAACCGGGTGGGTGATGACAGACTTATTATCATGATCGGGAAAAATTGGGATTTGCACCCAAGACCCATGATCCTGGCACGGAAAAGGGGCGTAACTCTATACCACCATCGCCACAAAATTCACATGACACCAACATATCTACATTACATTTTTTAAAAAGTCTGTTAAATAGCCTTGCATCCTGTTTATTTCGTTCAGATATAACCGTTCTTCAAGATTGTTCCTGTAGAGTAGCGTACCTTAAAAGCTTAGTTGTTCCAGACTCGGCTGATCGTGGGTTCGAATGTAAGTTGGGTTTAATAAAGCCCCTTGACAGTGGTTCTGTTATAATATCACGGCGTCTCATGAGCTGTTGGAGGAACACTCCGAGTGACGACACAATTTAAGGTACCGACCATTATTAGTATGGAAAGGGTGAGAGGTTTTTTTATCTTAGAGCCAGTAAAACTATTCTTTTTCCCCGTAAGGAAGAGGTTTTTAAACAACACATTTGTTTAAAACATCCACGATGACCAACACACAAATAAAATAATTAGGCAAAATAAACCTAAGGCATTATGTTATATTTTAAAATAACATGACTTTACCACTTTGTCGAAACTTTTGAGAACCAGTTTAGTGTCAACTGACCGAGGATCATAATCGGTGCAATCTAGGATAAGAACCAACGATCATGGAATTCTGACTTATTTTGGTACGTCAAATTGCGCTCCAGAACACTGGGCAACCCCACGATGGGGAATTGTGCTCTTAATTTACGTTACAGTCAGCAATATTCATACTGCATCACGACAGCCTGGAAAATGCAAGTAACAAGCCTGGCCGAGCGGTCCAAATAGTCTCCTCTTACAATAGTCAACGGGTTACTGGTGGGCTTTTCTATCCCGTGTCCACACTGCGTATTATTTTAATCGAGAGCAAGAGGGATGAGTAGTTGATACGGTCTAGCATTCAGCGTTCCTATAGTTTTTTCAGGTTCTGTGAATGAGTCAAACAAATGTTTTCTCAATTAAGAGGTCACTGATGTTCCAGCTGAATCATGAGAACCTGAAACGAATCCAGTCTAGACAGGACAGTCCAGTGCTAGAATGCATGCGCAACGATTAAAGCCATCGAGATGCCTTGACACGCAATAAGCTGTCACATGTACAGAGCCTGACGTACATTCCTACCCGGAATTACCACGAGTAGGTTTGTGAGCCGAAAACTTACTTTGCGAGGTTTACTATAAGAAAACTAGGGCGGTAGGGTAGCCTAGAGGTTAAACCGTTCGCTCATCACGTGGTGTGTGATTCTCAACATGGGCGCAATATGTGAAGAAGTAATTTTCTGGTGACCCCCGGCATGATATTGTTGTAACATTGCTAAAAGCGGCGTAAAGCCTTTTATGGGGCCTTTACACAGGATGGACACCTTTGTGCCTCCCGTGTGCGACCATAAAATGTGCCAGGTCGTCGTTGGAGGCTCAAAGGAGGCAGAGTGGTTGCCTAGGTCGTTCCAAGGTGGTACACAGGAAGTCCAGACATCGTTATGGACGCCATGTTCAAAACAGTCGCACAAAGGTCACCGAGGAGGCTGGTTGCTCAAAGGTGGCTCAACGGAGGCAGAAGGGAGGCACACGTGCACGCATTGCCGTTGTTGCAGAATGAAGGCACAGTGGTCGCCCAATGGTCGCCAGGTAATAGATGCGCTCTGCTGCAAATTTCCCGTCAATCTGGGCGATGCTTCTGCCTACCTTGTGCCTCCTTTTGGCGACCATCAGCGTGCATTGAACGATGACTGTGACGACCGCCGTGCCTCCATTCGGCGACCACGGCAACCCTTGAAACACCATGGCAATGCTTCTGCCTCTTTTCCGCCTCCTCAGCCTGCCTATAAATAGAGGTGAGGTGAAAATGGGTTTAACATCGCGTCCAAGATTATTGCACTTATATAGCGACGTGCATGCACGTGTGTGTCTGTGGCTGCTTCTACTAGTCCGGACTGATGCCGATTTATAGTGCTAGCTCACTGAGATACGCCTATAAATAAAGGGCTTGTACCTGCAGTGTTTCATTGTGGTTGCAGACGCTGAACAACTCGACTCAAGACTCAGTAGACACAAGACATCGTGCCTGGAGCATGATTTCTGGGTTTAGGCGACCATTGACCGCCCTGGCCAGTTTTTGATCGCTCAAAGGTGGCACAAAGGTCGCAGCCTTGTGTAAAGGGGCCTTCACTCTCTCACACCATGGGAAAATGGAACCTCTCAACGTGGTGAAATATATTTTAAAAAATTCGTAGTTCTTTAAACCACCCGATCCTCGCGTTAGTCACCTTTAATGACAATCTTTTCTGACCCGAATTCACAACTGGCTGCTCAGTAGACAGTTCATTGTTATCCACAAGCGGGGCCTCTTTGAGTGTGTCCTCTAATGATAGCTTTGCACGAGTTGTCACCAGAATACTGAACTTTCCACTCGGACCAGCACACTCTATATTTTACCAGTTCAAAATAACTTCACTTAGGAATCATACGTATGGTCAAACTCATTTCGCCGCAGCACGGCTCTTTTAAATGTTTGCTTGTCTTTATCAACTTTGCTAAAATAATGTTTGCTTGTTTGTTTGTTTGTTTGTCTGCTGTTTGCTGTTAAACGCCACACGCAGCAATATTCCAGGTATTGGCGGCGGCCTGTAAATAATCGAGTCTGGACCAGACAATTCAATGACTGAAATCATGAGCATCTATCTGAGCAATACGATGACAAGCTTCAGCCATGAGAGCCTAACCCCCCGATCCCGTTAATCGTCTCTTACGGCAAGCATAGTCGTCTTTACGGCAAGCATGGGTTGCTGAAGATCTATTCTGACCCGGATATTCACGGGTCTGCTAGAATAATGAGAAACGCCACATCCACATATACGCACATGTGTAAACTAATAGGTTGTAGTTCAGTGCTTGTGTCATACCAAACACAAAATAGACCATGTGTGCATACAAAATACAGGCATTGTTGTTTTTGTTGTTGGTCAAAGCAATATTTCAGTTATATGACGGCAGTCTGTAAATAATAGCCTCTGGACCAGACAATCCAATGATTGACATCATGCGCCTTGGTCATGCGATGAAATTATGAGAAAAGACCCAGGTCGTTGGGGTACGATGACACGCTATTAACCAAGTCACCGAGTCTGACCAGCAGATCCATTAAGTCGCCTCTCACGACCTTCTTTTGTTATCTATTATAACCCGTGAAGACTAGAATAGGTCTTCAGCAACCCATGCATGCCGTAGAAGGCGACTATGCTTGTCGTAAGAGGCGACAAACAGGATAGGGTGGTCATGCTCGCTGACTTGGTTGATGCATGTCGTCGTTTTCCAATTGCGTGGATCAGACCGCCTCCGCCTCGATCTAGTGGTAGAGCGTCCGCCCAGAGAGCGGAAGTTCTGGGTTTCGATCCCCGGCCGCGTCATACCAAAAGACGTTAAAAGATGGTACTTTTTGTTACCCTGTCTGGCGCTCGGCATTAAGGGGCTAAAGCAAGGACTGGTCGGTTTGGCGTCAGTATACTGTGTCTGAGTCGGGTATTCATGTTAAACTGCGGCATGGTATCTCAGTGGGCTAGCATCAGTCCGGACTATTAAAAGCAGCCACACACACACGCGCGCATGCACGTCGCTATATAAGTGCAATAATCTTTGACGCGACGTTAAACCCAATTTCACCTCACCTCACCTCACCTCACCTCACCTCACCTCACCTCACCTCACCTCACCAATTGCGTGGATCGATGTTCATGATGTCAATCACTGGATTGTCTGGTCCAGAGTCAATTATTTCCAGATCGCGGTCATACAGCTGGAATATTGTTGAGTGCGGCGTTAAACAACAAACAACCAGAAGCCCCACGAGATACAGTTCTCTTAAAACTTTTAGTGCTCTGAGTAATGCTCAGTACCAACTGGAATATGACATGAAACATGTTATCTGGCTGTTAAGGACAACCACGTGACCATTAATCTGGCTAAAAGCCCAATGTTAGAGCGCCTGCTTCATTTGTGAATACGTTATACAAAAGGTAAGCCATGTATTTCAAACCTGTGTAACAATTACATACAATTTTTAACAACATCTAGCATTTTTTAATTTTTAAAAATCTTTTTAATACCTTAGGGAAACGAGAACAGATTAAGAATACTCCAGGTCAACAGAATATTAAATAGTAGGTCGTTATATTTTAACTAACAACTTTGTTTTTGTTTCATTCCCATTTTGAGTCTCAGAGTCCGTTACATGTCTGAAACGTCGCTTATGTGACGTTTAGGTTTACCTCGCTTACTCGTTTACTCATTGGAATACGAGTCCCGCGACTATTAATTAAAATTAGTATTCAGCAACCCGTGCTTGTCGTAAGAGGCGACAGACGGATCGGGTGGTCAGGATCGCTGACTTGGTTAATGCATATCATAGTATCCCATTTGCGTACATCGATACTCATGATGTCAATCACTGGATTGTCTGGTCCCGACTCGATTATTTACAGACCGCAGTCAAATATAGCTGGAATATTGCTAAGTGCAGCGTTAAAAAAGCAAATCTTACCATGTTTTTATCCTCTGCAAGGCATGCCTGTTTTGGAAGGTTTAAAATGGGAAAACACTGGGCTAAAATACTTGATTTTACCTTTTCGTCTCCGGGCATAGGTCTCAACTTTGCACATGCATCACATTAAAAGCATTTATTCCGATGTAATTATTGTGTGATCAAGGAAAGTGTTTTGATGATGTTATCTATATCTATATCTTCTCACAGACACAACTATGCTGCTTCTCCTCTGCTTGACGTGCGTCGGTCTGTGCGCTGGACAAAGCCTTGGGTATTTTTGTGATTTCATAAAGCTGACGTAAAATCTCTAAAATGTGACCCTAATAAAAGTATTCATCTGTCTTCAAATTTCAACAATTTCAATTTTCGAGGTTCATTTTATTAGAAGAAGGGTTTGTGATTACCGTCGCCATGCAACATCTAGGTATAATGGGTCATACCAAAAGATGTTACCCGTGAAGATCCGGAGTAGAATAGGTTTTTAGCAACCCATGCTTGCCGTAAGAGGCGACCATGATTGTCGTAAGAGGTGACTAATGGGATCATGTGGTCAGGCTCGCTGTCGTTAAAATGGCCGCGAGAGGGGCACGAGCATTCGTGACCAACTCGTGTTATTGCGGGACAAGCCGAATAGCGACTTGTGCGCCTCTCGTGGCCAAATTTGCGACCGGGTTCCGTCTTGGCGCAAAGGGGCATACCTAAAACAATTGTCAACTCGTTGAGTAATGGTTCACATTTATTTCCCCATATATTATATATATTTCAGATGCAATTTAAAGCACATCGGGACATGCGAAATTATACAGTATGATTGACCACATTTAACTGTGTCTTGGGTATATTTTTAGATGCAAGACATAAGTTAAATCCAAAAAAGATTCTGAGGGATTCTTTGACATAGAACTTGAAATAATACGCGCATTCTGATTGATTTGTCGTATTTTCGCACAAAACATTCATCGATAGGGGGACGAGTCTTCTTGCAGGTTACGGAAAGGGGCGAGTGGTGACGAATGGGGCACGAGTCGCTATTCGGCTTGTCCCGGAATAACACGTGTTGGTCACGAATGGACGCAATGCTGAATATGATAAGTTGTGTCAATCGACTTGTACAAAGGCAGAGATGACGTACCGTGCAAGGATCCGCGCTGGCAGGTTGCGAGGTAGTTTCGGTTAACGGTGAAATGGGGTTTAACGTCGCGTCCAAGATTATTGCACTTATTTAGCGACGTGCATGTACGTGTATGTGTTTGTGTGGCTGCTTGTACTAGTCCGGACTGATGCCGATTTATAGTGCTAGCTCACTGAGATACCATGCCGCAGTTTAACATGAATACCCCACTCAGTCACAGTATACTGACTCCGAGCCGACCAGTCCTTGTTTTAGCCCCTTAATGCCGAGCGCCAGACAGGGTAACAACAAGTACCATCTTTTAACGTCTTTTGGTATGACGCGGCCGGGGATCGAACCCCAGACCTTCCGCTCTCCGGGCGAAGGCTCTACCACTAGACCACGGAGGCGGTCCGTTTCGGTTAACGACACTCTGCATTAACGACAAACAGTATTTCAGTTATATCACAATGTGTTGCCTTAATATGGGGGAAAAGTGCAGGTCTGAGACGTTTATCGCTTTGGTTAAACTGATATGGTGCTGGAAAAACCAAGAATAATAATCAGAACTAATCTGGGATTCAGACCCACGATCATCGGATTCTCTAACGCCTAAGGGACGTAACTCTGAACAGCGAATTGCAGCCTTAGACGATCGTGACACCTGTACATGGATTTTCGATGTCTGCAATAAAAGAATAACATGTTTTCATCGCTTGCAGAAACGAATACGGCATGTACTTCGCCGGGTACTTCGAGCGTCAATTTGACACTAACAACAATAAGATGGCCGACCTCTCCGAATTCCAGGCAGTCTTCGACTCGTACGATCCAAACAGTACGTAGAAACAATTGTCATGTGTCAGTGATGTGGTAATTGTTAGTAGCAGCAGATAGAAGAGCTCTTAACATGTCAAGTGCCTTTTCCTGAGTTTTTGGGACGGTATGCGACAACCAGAGTACTTGAGAGTTACCCGCCTTTGTTCACGCATGTTCGTCAGGTAACAGTTTCTAGAAGGGTGGCTGTACATATATAAGAGCGAGCCAAGGGCGATTCGAGGCCTCCAATTTGTGTTGCCATTTGACCCGTGAAGATCCGGGGTAGATTAGGTCTTCGGCAACCCATGCTTGCCGTAAAAGGCGACTATGCTTGTCGTAAAAGGCGACTAACGGGATTTTAAGGTTGTGCCTCGATGTGACTCACGACATCTTCTTGTAACTCTGACAACGCCTGTAGTAAAATGTTCTGCGGAAAAATAATCAAGAGACTGTCGTGTTCGATACACCTGGTAGGATGACAAAGAGGAACGTTTCATACGTAATGTGGAATCGCCCGAACTTGAAAAGAATCGGGAAAAACCTAGTTTAGAAGCTCTTACTGACCTAGACAAGAGTGTATCAATATTTACAGAGGCAATTCCTTCAGCAGCAGGTATGTGCAAAAAAACTGGATATAATAATAACAATCATCAACATATTTGTAACACAAGAAATCCGTGGCATGATGATGACTGTCTGTTAATGAAACACGAACGCTGTCGTGCACCTAACAAATTTTAAAAACTAAAGACAATGAAGATTTGCTGAATTATTATCAAATAATAATATAAGACTATTTGTAGAAAGAAACCCAGGTGATTACATGAACAGCAAACGTAACACACTGGAGCAAACTACTGATTCAAAGACATTCTGTAACAATATTAAGGACTTGCACAATACGCAAAGTAACTACAATCCCATAGATTCTAAAGAATTGATGGAATACTTTGGGCATTTATTTAATCAATCTACAATTGAAGAAGATAGTGATTTCTTTAACGACGAAGCCGACCCACTAATAATAGAAAGCGAGAAAATCTCCCGCGACATCTTGGATGGAACAATCACTAAAGATGAAATCATTGACAGTATTATTTCCTTCAAAAACTCTAAATCACCAGGTATGTTTCTAGGTTTGTCGGCATCATACCCGTGCTCGTGGGTTTCACCGAAGTGGTAAACGTCTGAGACCTGCATCACTTCGAGCTTTCCTCCCTCATTAAGCTGACACGCCGTGATATAACTGGAATAATGTTAAAAGCGGCGTTAAACCCAACTCACTCATTCTTGGGCAGATATGTATGGCAAAATATCAGAATGTCAATCTGGCTTTAGACGAATGCTGTTATTCAACGATATTTAGGTATGTGTGGTCGTAAGTTATTTGTAGCCTTTATAGACTTTTCAAAGGCGTTCTTATTTGTGGAAAGTATTTGGAAAGCACGGTGTCAGCACTAACGTATCCAAAATGTTAAAGTCAATTTATGGTAACGTTAAGTCATGTGTCAGAAGTAATAACCTGTTGTCAAAAACAATTTCAATGTAATTTAGGCGTGAGACAAGGTTGCGTTTTGAGCCCCTTCTTATTTAAATTATTCATCAATGAAATTGTACACACAGTGGAACAGGGGCAGCTATCTGGACTACAGTTAAATCCTGATATTATACATGTTTTATTATTGCTCTTTGCAGTTGATTTGATTTTAGTTTCAGACATATTAGGGGACTACAGAAGGAATTCTCTATCTTAGATAAGTATTGTGTGGACTGGAGTATGTCAGTTAATATTGTAAAAACTAAAACTGTAGTTTTTTCAGAAAGGTGGGCGGCTGAATAAATGTGAAAAATATATATCGAAAGATGGGCAGAAAGTGTAAAATGAACCCCGTTCCCAGCGTCCTAATGTAATCCATGGAATTTGGCTACAAGCGACTAAAACCCATACTGGGTAATCATTAGGTCCAAGCATGCGTTCTCGTCCTGCCAAAGACACGGTTCGATTCCTCATTTGGATGGATGTTTGAAACACGTTGTCGATAACCCCTGTCCTGATGTTAATGAAATATGGGCTGCAATATGCTGTCATCCTAACTGTGTCCGTTCTTGCTTTCCCAGAGGACGACAAGGTGCCGGTGGCGGAATGCGTGAAGGCAGCTGGAACATTGAAAGCAGGACCGCCAGCCACGTACTTCGCCCTCATGGACCCAAACAGCGACGGCGTTATATACAGAACAGAAGTGCCCGCCATCCTCAACAGCTTCGACATCAACGGTATGTCCTAAAACAACATGTGGTGTGTGACCCGTGAAGATCCGGGATAGATCAGGTCTTCAGCAACCCATGCTTGCCGTAAACGGCGACAATGATTGTCGAAAGAGGCGACTAACGGGATCAGGGGGTCAGGCTCGCAGACTTGGTTGATGTATGTCATAGTATCCCAATTGCGTGAATGGATGCTCCTGATGTCAATCATTGGATTGTGTGGTCCAGACTCGATTATTTACAGACCGCCGTCATATAGCTTTAATATTGCTGAGTGCGGCGTTAAACAACAAACAAACAAAGCATGTAGTGTGTCGTCAGACAACATGTCGTGTCTCCTTGGTCATCTCGTCCTTGTCCTGTAAGACTATGTGGTATACTGTAATGAAATAGTATTTTCTATATTATTTAGGAGTTAATTGTATGTTCTTTAGGATATACTCCAAATGTGTAGATATGAGCATATATTCTATCATGTACAACATCCACAAAGCCGAATACCTCCACAAACGTAATTACTCTTTGACGTTCTTATTGCGTTCGCCAATAATGGGTCATGTGTCAATTTTGAAAAAGTCATGTGTCGATTTGGGAAAAAAACCTATGTCAATGTGAAAAAAATATCAGTAAATGTGCAAAAGGTCATGCGTCGATTTGGGAAAAAAGTCATTATCCGTGTTAGAAAATGTCATGTGTCAATTCGGAAAAAGTCATGTTTCTTATGAGATTAAAGATTTGAGGTCTATCAGCATCGTTCCAGCGCCCGTGCATCACTTTGGGCTGATCGCTCACGTAAAGCTGACGACCCGTGAAGATTCCGGGGTAGAATAGGTCTTCAGCAACCCATGCTTGCCGTAAAAGGCGACTATGCTTGTCGTAAAAGGCGACTAACGGGATCGGGTGGTCAGGCTCGCTGACTTGGTTGATGCATGTCATTGATCCAAATTGCGTGGATCGATGCTCATGATATTAATCACTGGATTGTCTGATCCAGACTCGATTATTTACATACCGCCGCCATATAGCTGGAATATTGCTGAGTGCGGCGTTAAACAACACACCAACCAACCAACCAACGTAAAGCTGACACGCTGTGATATAACTGAAAACTAAAAAGTGGCCATAAACCAAACCAATGATGACACACTGGTTTCATAAGAAAACCGTTTCATGTACCGCAAGGACTTTGCCAGGAAGACATCAACAATTAATATACCTTTGAATATTAAATGTATTATTTCGTTTATGTCACTAGCTATGATACCTTTTTAACTGACTAATAAATGTACAATATCTGGATGGGATAGCCAGGTCAGTCATATACATAATATTCGTGGCGAACTTGTTGCAGGAAACGGCAATGTCACGGAGATCGAGTTCATCGATCATTATATCGAGGTACGTATAGAAGCGGAAATGATCAGCAATAGTAGTTTGACCCGTGAATATCCGAGTTAGAACTGGTCTTCAGCAACCCATGCTTGTCGTAAGAGCCGACTAAGAGCCGATCGGGTGGTCAGACTCGCTGACCAGGTTGATACCCCACCATTAGCTTTTTACTTGGGTCTGCACCTCATGATTGTCGTAATTAAGAGTCAACGTAATCGGGGATCGTTGGCCAGGCTCTGTGACTCTCTGGATGCGTGTCGGCGTGACCCATTGATCGTTGCTCCTGGTGTCAGTCACTGGTTTCCGTGGTCCAGGCTCCATTATGTACACGCTGGACCACTGCGGTGTCACGCAACATTGACTCACTTCTATATGTAAAACACAGCTTCAAAGTTAAAGAGGCAGTTGGGTAGCCTTGTGGGTAAATCGTATGCTCGTCACGGCAAAGGCTCGGGTTCGATTCCCTACATGGGTAAAATGTGTGACGCCCATTGCTGGTGTCCCACGCCGTGATATTGCTGGAATGCTGAAAAAGGGGCCGTAAACCCGTTCTCAATCACTTCAACTTTATGTGGGGAACTCACTTTTGTGTCGCGGCTCCCACATATGTGTCACTGGGTTTAACCGATTAAAACGGCGGGCTTCAACTTAGTAGCGTGTGGACTTGTGCACAGCGTACAGGTCACAAATCTGGTGAAGTTAAGCAACGTCGGTAGCGGAGAATCCTTGGATGGGTTACCGAGTTTGACTGCCTGGCTTCTGTGAGTGGCATCACACGCAGCACATGTGGTGTCTCCTTGGGCAGTGACTTTGTTCAAATTGTGCCACCCAGCAGTGAATGGGTACGAGGTAGGATGATATGGCAATGTGGTTATTAGCCTTCTAGCGCCTAACAGGCAGCTTGGATTGAAAACTGCTCAGGAGCTGTGAAAGATTGTTGAGTGCACACTGATCCATTAACCGGTATAATAAATGTTTCAGCGCTTAGAGAACAACGCCATATCAATGGACTATTATTACTGATATATTGTTTATTTTATTTTATTTTTTATATTATTATTATGGTCTATGTGTCAATTCTAAATATTCTAAATATGGGTATAATCTTCACTATTTCAGCTTTACCTAAAGGTTGTCGCCATGCAGACCTTCGTTGGTAAATAGATGTCCATTGTATGAATAAAGATATGAGAATAGCCGATATGTTTTCTGTTATAATAGTACTCTCTTCCCTGAGATTTGAATCCCCCAGCGGTTATAAAGACTTTCATTTTGGGAATTTTTAGTTCAAATATCACCGTTCGTCAGGATCGCCCGCAAGAGTTGCCTACCTTAGTTGTGCCAGACTCTGCTGATTGGCATTATCACATCTACAGCACGACCAGTCATGGTCAGAATGTGGGAGGAAAGCCCAGGGTAACTCAGGCAAAGTTCATGTAATATTCTGGGAGAAGTTTCTAAAATTTAACATTACCTTGTCCGGAAAAATGAAATTTGATGATAAAAAAACAAAGCAGATGACAATAAAACCGATCGCCCAAATGCATCACGGCAACGGCCATGGTAACCCGATGCACGTGAATTCCGTGCAAATTGAAATTCATTTGCGTTCCCCCATTTCTTGCCCTACAAAAAAATCCAACCAGATCGAATAACATTCATTCGTTATTGAATTGCTACCACATGCCGAGATTGCAAGCTGGACAAACCGCCCGGCAAGTAGCCAATGCATTTTAAATCCACGTAAGGACCATACACAGGCTCCAGCAACGGTACCAGACCACCAAGAATACATATGACTGACCCCGTAGTGGAAGACCAAGGGTCACCACCCGACGTCAGAGAGAGAGAGTCTGGCGACGCCGTGGGGAACGTTATCCGGATGCTTGTGTTGTTGAGAAAGACTCGTGGGGTGGTCCGAACATCATGGTGTGGGGTGGACTGGTCTTGCACAGAGGGTCGGCCCCGTGGTCTTCTAAAACATCGGTCGAGGGAGAGGAAATGGTGTCACAGCAGCTCGGTACATTGATCAAGTCTTGAGACCAGACGCCATACTTCATTTGGCACGTCGCCGCAACCACGAGTTTCAGCATGATAACGCCCGTGCCAACACTGCGAGAGCAACAAGAGAATGGCATCAGAGTGAGTGAGTGAGTGAGTGAGTTGGGTTTAACGCCGCTTTTAACAGTATTCCAGTTATATCGCGGCGTGTCAGCTTAATGTGGGAGGAAAGCCCGAAGTGATGCAGGTCTCAGACGTTTACTACTTCGGTGAAACCCACGCGCACGGGTATGGTGCTGACAAACCTAGAAACATAATCGGGGCGAACCGGGATTCGAACCTACAATCATAGGTTTCTGGCGTGTCCAAGGGACGCAACTCTGCACAGGAATCGCGGCGACTTAGACGACTGGGCCACCCGTGCCCCCGAATGGCATCAGAACCATGCAGTTGCCTGCCCTCAGTCCCGATTTAAATCTCATTAAGCTTATAGCGAACTGACGGGTATAACGAACTTATCTGTTTTGTCCGAACCATTTGCTGTACATGTACTATATATAAACTACGATTATAACGAACTAAAATTAGTGGTCCCTTTGAGTTCGTTATAACCGTAGTTTACTGTACTTTAAACCACCCGTGTTAGTCACTATTTAGGATAAGCATCGGGTGCAGAAGACTTGGTTGCTCTGCATCTTTGAGTGCGTCCTCTAATGACATCTTTGCACCAGTTGTCACCAGAATGTTATTAAGCACCGACGAAACTTTCCACTCGGAACAGTACACTCAAGATTTTACCAGTTCATGATGACTTCACATGGGAAACACACATATGGTCAAACTCCTTTCGCAGTAGATATGTAGTAAATGCACAACTTTTTTAATTCTTTGTCCCTTTTTACTTTCCTAGAATAATGTTGTTTGTTTGTTTGTTTGTTAGGTTTTTGCTATTAAACGCCACACTGAGCAATATTCCAGTTAAGTGACGGCGGTCTGTAAATAATCGCATCTGGACCAGACAATCCAGTGACTGAAATCATGAGCATCGAGCTACGTAACTGGGATACGATGACAAGCATCAACCAAGAGAAACTGACCACACGATCCCGTAAGTCGCCTCTTACGACAAGTATGGGTATATTCTAACCCGGATATTCACGGGTCTGCTAGAATATATATGCATATTAAATACAGGCATTGTTTGTTTGTTGTTGGTCAAGGCACTCAGCAATATTCCAGTTATGTGACGGCTGTATGCAAATAAGAACTGATAAGAACAACCTCGTGACCAGACATCTGGTTTAAAACTCAAACCCACGTCGCCCACTTCATTTGTGAATACGTTACACAAAAGGTAAGCCATTCACTTCAAACCTGCGTAATAATGTACCCGTGAAGATCCGGGGTAGACGAGGTCTTCAGCAACCCATGCTTGCCGTAAAAGGCGACTATGCTTGTCGTAAGAGGCGACTAACGGGATCGGGTGGTCAGGCTCGCTGACTTGGTTGATACACTGTTACAACACTTAATGTGAAAATGACACTTAATGTAAAAACAAATACATTAAGGGTTGCGGGTTCACCCTTGTTACAACTCTTAATGTAAAAAATACTCTTCATGTATTTATTTTTTTACATTAAGGGTTGTGATAAAGTGATAGATAATATTTTTATTTACATTTTTAAGGGTTGTCACTATGAAATAATTCTTATCGAACTGTCATGAAACTTCGCAGATTTAATTGATCGTTACGTTGTCTGGGGGTTCAAATTACTAATCATTTTTCGATTCCTACTCTACAACGACCACCTGGTTGTCATCTTCAGGCTTCATAACCGATTTTTATCAAACTTACAGTTTTACAAAGGTTATTTTCCGATACTCTGAAAGGTAACCTCGTTACTATCCTCATACCGTAACGACGGAAAGGAGGACTCAGCCCAAGCAGATCAGACCAAGTTGTAGATGATGGTGGGTTGTTAGAATGGTCCATTAACAGAGTTTTAGGCATAAAATAATGGACATTTTGTTGCAGTATTACGGATATGACAGTTAAGCATACACCAGAATCATATGCAATTTTAAAAAGACAGGAACTCCAATGCAATTGGTGTTTGGTTAAAATAACAAACCGTAGGTTTTCCAACTACCGTGCCGAGTCAAATATAGCCACTAAAAAGTTATACCTTTTCTATTGCAGTTGAGCATATTCTGTAGTAAGACTTTTGTTGATTGAAAATAGCGAAAAAGAACATTAGGCATACTTCCTGTAGAGTATTTCATGTCGGTAAGGAACCGACCATTCGATCTTCTTGGGGAGCTGACATAAGCTCACCACGGAACTTCGCAGGAGGTTAGCTGTAAATGCTATCTTTCGACATAAACTGAACAACAAAAGTTCCTGTGACATTGAATAAGATTTAATGCAAAGTTATGTTTTTTACCAATTCTGAAACAATTTCGATTTGCAACAGATAAAAGACTCCTGTAAGTGTTCAAATGGTTTAATTTGCCATACTGACTGCAGAAAATGCGTGATTTCATATAAAAAAAAACTTGAACATGCCAAAATGTCAATTTACAAATCAATAGCGTGTGTGTCCACCTCTGGTTGCGATGCAAGCAACACATCTTCGTCTCATGGAATGGTCCAGGCGTCGACCAAAGACCTGTGTGATATCTGTCCATATCTGCTGGAGCATGTTCCTGGAGTGTCTGTGGAACACGTGGTTGACGTCGAAGGCGCCGATCCTTCTCATCTTACATGTGCTCGATTGGCGAGAAATCAGGGGAGCGAGTCGGCCAGGGGATGACATTCCCGTTTTTTTTGTTGAAGGGAATCCTGAACAAGTCGAGCAATATGAGACCGGGCGTTGTCATGTTGAAAGGTAATGCCTGGGCCATAACGACGCAAAAACGGTAGAACAAATGATCTCGTCGCGGTAGCGCTGTCCATTGAGATTTCCCTCTACCACTATCAAACGGGTCCTCTGTCTTGCTGTAATCCCACCCCATACCATAACGCTGCCGTCCCCGAACCGATCTTCATCCAAGACACAATGATTAACGTAAAGTTCACCTTTGCGTTGGTACACTCGAATCCGTCCATCGCTGTGGCTGAGGTGAAAACGAGACTCGTCAGTGAATAGAACTTGTCCCCACTGCATGGCCGTCCAGCGTAGACGCTGTCTGCACCACTGTAGACGTGCTTGACGGTGGTTTCCTGTCAAAATGGGACGTCTGGTGGGTCTTCTGGCGACAATCCCTGCACATCTGAGGCGGCGACGTACGGTTTGTGAAGATATTCGTGGAAGGTCAGGTACGCTTCTTGCAGTCACTGTTGCTGGCTTGAATCGATTTCGTAGGTGTGTTGTTCGAATCCAGTTGTCTTGTCATTATTGGTTACGCGTGGCCTGCCACTCCGAGGATGGTCTCTGACTGCATTCGTCTGTTGCCAACGTTGCCATAAACACCAAATGGTGTTTCTGTGGACGTTAAATTGTCTTGCAACATCACGTTGACTCGATCCTGCTTCAAGCATACCAATGGCTGGCAGACGCTTATTTTCGGACAGGCGTGGCATTTCCTAATGTTGAATAATTGCGTAATTTTGTTGTTTTTCTGGGTGGTTGCTGTCAGCACGATGGTTAACAATGCATATGGAATGCCGTTAACGCACATGTTTTTATACCAATTCTTGGGTAGTGAAGTGCATGGGGCTTGCATAAAAGTCAACTTTTGCATGGAATGCATGCTTTTCTGTAGCAGTTGTGTTTTTGTGACTTGATTCCATACATGTACTACAATATTGAAAACCAAACTTAACTTGTTTGAAAAATACACTAAAATATTGGTCTCACAGGAACTTTTGTTGTTGAGTGTATTTTATGAATAAATCGAAATGGATTGTGAATAGATTTCTCATGGCGGATGACGCACGCCGTACAAAGATGGATGGCAATACGTCACACAAGCCTTTCGGACATCTTGCATGGATGGATAAAAATGGAGCTAACTAGAACTGTCCTATTGGGAATTAATGAAGGCATTTCGTACAGTGTCCGTAGCTACACCTACGTACATATCTGAAAGAAATCGATGTAGTAGTTTAGAAGTTGTCCAGACAAATTGAAATGACGAAGTAATAAAAGGCAATAACTCCGCCCAAATGAAAAAAACAAATTGCAATGTGCCCAA